GTTAAATTTACAGTTTACAGTACTAAGAGATAGACATAGGTATTTTATTTTTGCACTTAATAGTATTCTACGAAACACTGTGACATAAGTCTGTTGATCTGGATATGAGTTGACAAGTCAGCAAAAAAATACTTGCTTCACCGAAAAGTACTCGAATAAAGCCAATAACATCCACGATAGGGTGAAGGATGTGATAAGTTGTTCATTCCATTTCCAACAAGTAGAAATATTCGTCGGAGACCCCATTTTATGTCAATTTTTTAGGACAGACCTCGAAATATTATGCACACACATTGCTATGATTGTTTTGGGGCGGTCTACGTATAATGATACCCCCAATTTTCGCCATTTAAATGTTTTCAGACTGTCTTATGTTTAGGCATTTGCCAGGGAAGGCAAATATTACCATAGAACCAATATAAAAGAACCTGCCCAAGATCCTACATTTAGAAGGTTTTGACCGAATTGATTGCAGTTTGGTATTGCAGATTTTTTGGAGCCTTGACTTTGACCAATATAGACCCATGTTGTGGCAAAGACTTCATACAGATGTCCTAGTGTTTTCAATAAGAAATTTTTAATGCCCACCACCTGATAGAGATTATAAAAAATTCAGTCCACATAAATCACACTAACTTTGTCTTATATAAAACATTATATTTGTGTACGTATTTAGTGATGTGCGGGGGGACTTCTTGAAGAATCTGGTGGCAGGTAAGTGGGTGTAGATGGTCCCTTTGCCTGGTGACTATATTTATATTAATGCTGTTTAAATTGGAACATCTAGATGTTCAAGTATGTATAGTTAGAATTCTTTATCTAGATCTTAAATATATCTCCTGACGTGCCTGTATGGGCATCATTTCTACAAAATTGTCATGATGTTCACGGAGGTCAGATTGTCCACTATTATATTTTACCCAGTTTCGATGACAGCGACCCCATTTTCGTGGATATGATCTGATGACATTATCTCTTATCGCATATGCCTGTAACTTGCTCAGAGAATCTGGAAAGGCCTGTCGAAGATTAAACCCATTCATTTAGTTGACATAGGGAATTTGAAGAAACAATGTGCCCCTAATATTTTCGTATACTTCAGTTGAAATATATTACAGCGTAATGTTTTTCATCTAAATGTTTTTTTTTAAATACCTTACCTTCTTAAATAGTCGTTAAATGTATATAACGATACATATGTCTTCAAATTTCGGGTGCCCAAAACTGTGGGAGGCTTTACTATTCTATAGTATAAAATGGAATACGTAGGTCCCATGGCTAGCTTTTGGAGGTCTATATTTCTTGCAAGCATCTATACTTTCCTGTGTTACTCTATATAGTTTCCAATGCAATTTTTTATGTATATACTTTCAAATTAATGAAGGCATTACTCACATACATACGTACATATCAACATGATGGCGATGATGATTATGTCGCAAGTACATTCACTGGGATTATTATGGCTTTTGTTGGACTGGACGTACCTCTACCTACACTTGCTGATGGTTTGATGTACATGTTCACCGGCGACACAACACAGCAACTACAACAGCAATAGTCCAAATGTAATAATTATTATTTTTTATGAACAACAAAAAGCAAATTATCAATAAATTTTTTCTTTTTACTTTTTCGGTATTAAAGAAACGACAGTCGTCATATCTGTAATATGCTTAGGTGTGTGTGCTCGCTTACTGCAAGTGCATGTACATACATATGAATATATCTGTCAATCCGTTGTAACCCATTCAAAAAAAAAAAAAGAAAGAAAGAAATAAAAACTCACGCATTTAATGTGACATCTGTTGCTGTTGTTGTTGGTAGTTACGATTATTAAAACAAGCAAATAGTAACGGTAACATACGTATCTACCATTCGTCAGTGTATCTGTCAGTCCGTCCGTCTCCATTCATCCGCTTCTAGTAGGTGCATTATTATTGTTGTTGCTGCTGTTGTTTGGTTGTGGACGTGCCATGAATGAAAAAATATGATTTCTTTTAGTTACTTTTTGTGCGTTTTTTGGGGGGCTACGATTCCGTTATTGTTGTCTTTTATTATGTGTGTGTGTGTGTTTTTTTCTTTCTTTTTGTTGATTGAATGCATTGAAGCATTTTAGTGAATGAATGCTGTTGTTGACGACGTCCGTCCGTCCGTCGAGTGCAATTTGTGTTTGCTTTGTTGATTATTTTGTGGGGGTTTTCTCATCTCATCATTCAATCATCGTTTTATTATGTTTTCGTTGCCACTGCTGCATCTCCAATAGCAGCAGTAGCAACATTTCGTCTGGTAATGAATAGAAAACTGCGCCTGGAACTCTTTTTATTTCGCAAAGCAATGCAAAACACAAAAAAGTAAACTATAAATTATTCATTCTTCATTCCAAATGTGGCGGCAGAGCATTATCACGCTAATGAAAGCGAAAGGATTGTCATTGCTGTGGACCGCCATCCAGAGATGGGACTATATATGAATTCAACTTATAACGGCAGACAATGTTGATATAACGATATTAAATAAAGGTCAGAACTTGTTTGGGAAATTTTGGATACGTCGTTATTACCCATATGCCGTTATATGTCGTAATAGGGATTTCGGCTATATTTCATTTGTTAGATTAAGGTCAAGTTATTTTATGATGATTTTCCATTAATCATTGGATTAAACATTTGCTGACATGATCTACGATGGTACAGTCGAAATATGAACCACAAAAAACTTCCTACTTACCTCCTTAGTGATTCTGTCACTGCCAGTAATTCGACTTATGGAAGTTCGACTGTACTCCAGTAAATCGAGCGGGGACACATTTCTTCTTATATTCATAATTTTCATATTAAATATTCTACAAGGAACATTATTTCCGCATTGTGGTCAGCAGGCCATAGAATATATTCCTTTTGTATTTACCACAAACAAAAATTCCAATTGTCACATTCCATATAGGCCATCTATTTTGCATTCGGACAGACATTGCTCAAAAGAACAACATTTGAATGTGGGCCAACAAAATACCACCGAATGGACAGACAAAATGTTAAAACACTAAAATTGTTGGCGGTTGGCGGATGCCGAGGCACACGACACATTCTCCGATTACAATAACACTTGTACACATGGATACATGGAATCCATTCTAGAGGAATTCCTTTGTTAACAAACAAAAAAACGCACACACACTACTCATTTGGCTGGGCACTTAATATCCTCGACCTCCTCATCCCTCACACTCTAAAGATGATCGGCGGTTTTGTGTTTTTTGTTATTGTTGTTGGCAAGTAGCAGCAACATAATATTAATAATAATCATCATGAGTGGAACGTGCTTAAGTACTAACAAATTATCCCTATTTTCACAGTGCATTCCATGCGAGTGTGTGGTGTGAGGTTTCTGTGTGTGTGTTCCTCAATGTGTGTGTTGCCTGCCAACCGTCCAGTTGTTGGATACCTTTAAGAAGAATATTTGTGGAGGAAAATGGTGGTGGTGGGGGCAACAATCTAGGTCATATGCACTTGATTCGTTTTGGTTGCTGCCTTTTTTATTCGGTTTACTCTCTGCCACTTAATTTATATCTATTTTTAGGAGCCACACTGCCGCCACTTCTGCTGTCGTCGTCGTTCGTTGTTATCTTGGAACATGTTTTCTATGTTCGTTCGGTTTAGAATACACTTTTATGCTATTGTTTCTTCTATCGCTCTCCATGTCAGTCTTAATGATGGGGTTTTCTTCCTCCCTCCATTTTCATTTATCCGTTCTATGCTGTTTAATTTTATGTCGATATTCTTTGGTCGATCACATTTTGTTGTATTGTTGGATCGATATGCGGTCGGTTGGATATGGTTGGATTCAAACATGTCTCATTATTTGTATACAGGAACGAATTGTGTTGAACAGCGAATAAGATTGGTATATAGAGTGGGAGAGCAACGCTCATAGATGGGATGCTGCTGAAATGGCAAACATAATATTTGTATACTGTAGATGTTTGCAAAGAATTCAAACAATGCTATATGTGGGAGAAGAGAATACAGTGGACGCTTTGTGAAATAAACATATGCATGTTATAAAATAAAAAGACAACAAAGTTTTTTTCGTGGCTTTTGAATACTGCCATTATAACCGATATCTCGGCCGGTGAGTGGTAGTGATAGGCCTTGGAAAAACATTCAGAGCTGCTAGAATGTCGCTATGATAACTGCAAAAGGGTGTCTACTCATTATACCAGTGGATCGTCGTCATAAGGAAGTGAAGATCATACCCGTCCATCGACACAACCAAATGTTGTAGATACAGTGCCTGCTTGGCTGTTATCGTCGGCAAAATCCCTATCATAGCCTTATGGACAGCCACGCCAGGAATGATCTTCATGATGTTTCCCTACCTTACAAGCCTACATGGAAACTGTGAAGGATTTTGAATTCATTACTGCCAAATCCCACTGTTCCACCTACAATACAATATGCCATGATGATGAACCGCAGCCAACTCATCTAATGATCGTTTTTCATTTGAGACCAAAATCATTTTCTATTTTTCTCATCTCTCTCCAACTCTCTTCCAATGGATTTTTCATGAGTTTTCATTTCTTAGCGATAAAGAACAAGAATGGACATATTCAAATTTGATTTGCTTGCTTTGGGAATATTCAGTCAATTTCGTTACTTTAGCATCTGCGGTTTGTCTTCTATCATTCCGTTTGTGTTCTTTTCTTATTTCGTTCGTATTCCCTATTATTTCGGTAGTTGATTCACCTGTCATTTATCTATCGATCTACATACAAACGTGTGTGTGAATTCTATAGTGAAAAAAACATTGATTATTTGCAAATCAAACAAAAAAAGTAAAAAAAAGAAATACAAAATATATTGAAAAACGACAACAACAACAACTAAAGTTGCGATCAATTGTCAACAACAACAATTACCACCTTTCAAACAACATAGTTTGTAGTGAAATTTGTTACTGTGTGTGAATAAAATCGATACACGTAATTGATAACGTCAACAACAGCAACAACAATTCCACAAAATAATGAAAAAAGGCAGCTCATCGCGATTTTTGAACTTTTTTGGCACACTACGTAAGCTCCAACTTCTATTATTTGTTATTTTATTTATTTATTTATTTTTTGTTTGCCTCTTCTACCTTCTTCCATTTATTTAAATTTCTTCTTTACATTCTCCATGAATTATTATACAATGTATGGCTGTGTTCAATTATGAAAAGTATTCCAAAGAGTGGCCCACGCATTTTTCTGATGATGACTCAATTTTTGTTGTTGTTGTCGAATATAAATGTTCGTTTGCGTATACCAATGGGAATGTGATGATAGTGTTGTTTTAGATTTTTTTTATATGTGTGATGAATTGTTAATTAAAACATAAAATATATGTACGTACTATGTCATAAAATTTTGATTTCAATTGAAACGATGATCTAGTACGAAATGCACTTGAACTCATCCGATTTTTGTATATGCTTTTAAAAAAATCGTGTTTTTATTTAAGTGGTGGGGTCAAAGTTTACAGATGTGTGACCATGAAATTTTATTTTCCTTTTGCAATCATTACGTTTAATTTTTTTTTACAAATTGTAACTTTTACTTTTTTTTTGGTTTTCTTCATTAGACAAATTATGATATAATTCTATTATGAGATAAAAATATTCATTTCAATATTAAGGTCTAATTGTGGTGCAATACATATTAGGCTATAAAGAATATTAAAAATTAATAACTAATCAAGGTCAGGAGTTGAATTCTGTCATAAGATAGCATGGGGTATGACAGTTTCGATCGCAAAAATATGTATGTTATGACTAAGATTGTGATAGACTACGATCATCGCCCAGATATCAAAGTGCAATTCTGCACCCACATATATTGTCAAAAGTTGTACTTGGAAATTATTGCTTATTTTCAACATTTTAAATGTGCTTCTATTGTTAAACATAATCACAGATTGGAACATTTTTAAAATATAAATATATTCTATTAGCCATTTTTCTGTGAATTTGCCAAACATTTATGATGCCAAATGTGTTTATATTATTCATTTCATTTCTCGAAATACATATTTATGTACATATGATTGTTGGCGAATACGTCATAAACAATAAAATTTTCTAAATTAGATTAAAGAAAAACAAAAGCAAAAAACATTAGCCAAATGATAACAATATGCCCGAGGAAAAAAAATGAAATACATTTCAACATAATGCCAAATTACAAAAACGTTCTTGAATACATACCAAAAACAAAATAAAAAAACCAACAACACATTTTGGGGCATATATAGGGAGTTTTTTAAATACAATACATTTCAAACAATTTTCACACACAAACACAGTGTTTATGCAAATATAAAATAAAACATTGTCGATGTGGTGACGACAAAACAAAAATTAAGACCGCCGATCTGTGGCCAAACACCCAACATCATTTAATGTTTTTGTTGTTATACAAAAAACCAAAAGGAACATAAACTATTGGTGGTGACCCACTATCCATTGTCTCTGCTTCAATGTTTTTGTCCGCTGCTCGACGAGAAAAAGATGTAAACGAACTTTGCAATACTTTTACTTGGCCCAGATCAACAAAATGCACAGTAAACGAAATATCACAGCCCCAGTGGATATTAGGGCAGGTGTATTCATTTAGTACTCTACAATAATTGCAATCAACATTTTGATACATATTCATAAATTGGTTCAGAATTAAATATTTTTCTCAATTTGAAAGATAAATCATGGATATATATTAAATTTTTAACTAAAATCGAATTTAATTTGTGGAAATTGTATACATTTAGAATTGTAGTATATAATTAGAACTGCAGCTGATAAAATCATGGCAATAAATATCGATACTGATTAGATAAAAAATATAACAGACTCAAAGTAAAAAAATAACCATTCAGTGGAAACTGTTTGAAAGAAAAGTAATATACAAGAGAGGAGATTCGCAATAGCCCTAACACACCTCTTAAAAAATGTGTAAAACATTTTTCTTTTGTATATACTTACATTTTTGTAAAACCTTTAAATGTTGTGACTTTTCAAATCATATCTATAACACCGTATTGGTAATTAATCTGTCCATGATATGGAAAGTGTAATATTTAGCGATTTTTTGTGATATGTAACTCAATATTTTCATTCATGGTTAGCTGATTAGAAGTCAAGGTTGATTAATTTTTTAATAAAGTGATATGTATTACATCACTTTATGAAAATATATATAAAATGTATATTTAACTGGTATTTTCTATAGTAGGGTAGGAGTTTCTTTAATAGTTATCATTATTTGTTGGCGAAAATCGAAGGGAATACGGATCTACGGAATTACTGTCTATTAAAAATTACTTATTAAATTTAAAATATTTCAAAATTGTGCAAGTTATTGCAGTTAATGGACCTATATAGCTGATAATGGCACTAAATCTAGTTTTTAGTATAAAATTTAAGGTCTGTCATGTTGAGGCAGCACTATTCGCTTTACACCTACTAGGCACTGAATTAATAAAATGCCCAATTTGATCCTTGGGTATACTATTCCTTGCATCCTGAACCTTTAGAATATCTTATGTCTGTTTGTTTTGTAAAACTTGGGAGTTATTGTCAAGCTGACACATCAAAAAGCCGTATATTTTCTATAGCGAAAGGAACTGTTGCGTTTCCAACACATTTGTATAAACAATCCTATGCATTACTTCATAAATTTCGCCAATATATTGAACTCCAAAAAAAGGAAAAACAGCTCAATAATATTATTGGCCCACATCCATGCTTTCCAGTGCCCTTGCAATACTGTGGCATGAGCCTTTCGTTTTTGGGCTTCGATAATCACTGATATTTCATATCTGAATCTTCAATTTTTAACTTTAATTCACCCGAGAGCATAACATGTCTCCACTGTTTCGGATTCCATTTAGTATTATCTTTTGCGATAGGCAATCTGGCTTTCCAAATCTTTTCAGAAAAAAAGAACTTTCTTCATAGTTTTACGGGCATATAGCCTTCTATCATAGCTCGTCCATGAGGTATTTCACCGCTATGTCAATTTGTTGATCAGTACGAACTGATGTTATGTTGCAGCCTTCCTCCGTAATGAACTACCACTACTGATCTAGTTACAATTCCCTTATCCATAAATTATTTATTTTAAAATGCATTTTGCATTAATGCTTTTGTACCCTATTTAAAACTAAAAAAAAACCCAACTCGATATCATTATTTTTGAAAAGTTATGGGGTATTTATTAACCTTGCAATATTAGTTACTTTAGTTTTGGCCACCAGTGTGTATGTTTTTATCAAAGAGCTTGCCATCTGTTAACTTAATCTAAGTTTGGAAGAATCATTACGATGTGCAAACCAGCCAGCCAGACAGGCGGTCAGACCTTGTAAATCGACTCAAAAATGTCTGGAACGGAAACTTGGGTTAATGAGACGAATTTTATCAAATAATAATGTTTCTACCATTTGATTTTAACTTGCTAAGAATTTCTATAGAGATAGAAAAGGAAATCTAATTTTAACAGGTTTTTATTCTGAGTTTTCGCCCAGCATGAATACCAATTTTTATGTTTATATTTTTATTATGTTTTCTATTATAACGGTAGATTATATAAAAAAAGAAGGAAAGGGTTCAACGGTAAATTTGAATCAAATGTCTCGGTTGCTCACCGGCACTGGTGGCAATAGCTAATCACTTCCATTCTTTTTTCAATGTTACAACAACAGGTTCGACATTTGTATTTCCCCTTTGTCGACAACGATGTAACAGCATTACCAAGTCAAGAACGAACGCATACATACACATACCCCACGTTTAATTGGATAGATTTCGAAAAAAACAACAACAGCAACATAAATAAATTCCAGTAATGAAATTGACTTAATGGGAGGATTGTTAGGAAGAAGGTGGGTTCTATTACGTTTATAACATTCGTTAGTTCATTCAGTCAGTCAGTCATTCATTCATTCATTGATGATAACAAAGTCGGTCATAGTCAATGATACCCACCTAACTATCTACCCAACACCACCACCCAATACCCAACAACAACTATTATAGCTGCATATAATAATATCAAGCAAGCCAACATGTTTTGTTCTAATTTGTAACGATTTGAGCTTGGTCCCCTCTCTACTATGACGATGACGAAGGTCTCTAATCGAAATACACGTCGAACAACTTATATTGGTTGTTGGATGAATACGACGATGATGATCATCAGTCCAGTCGTTTGACCCGGCGTCGTTTCGGTACTTTCAAATTGTTTTATTTGATTTGTTACTTGTGTGTAGTTTTTGTGGTTCTCATGTGGAGCCTCCATTAAGTCATGACGTATGACGCGTCTGGCTTTAAAAGCACAGCAACAACAACAAGGCTGTTGTACAGTACACACACACACTTACAAATACATAGTATACTGATAATGATTATGCAATCATAAACATTTCAATTATTCCTCTTTTGCTAAAATAAAAATTCGAAATTATTGAACAAAACAGAAAAATGTAAGAGATTTGAAGCACTCTGAAGAGAAGGAGAAACAGCTGGAGATTTGTGTTTTTTGCTAACGGAGAATTAATGAATGAATGAATTGAATATTATTCTCATTCTAGTCTTTAATTATAATCATATGGTGGAATGTGATTGGGATTGTAATTGCTGTTGTTATTTTTTGATTCCAAAAACTGTATTCACAGTGTCTGTCGCCAAAGTGATTAGTCATTATGGGGAGACAATTAAAAATGTACAGGTCGTATAAAATAATCGAAACGTATTCAAATGAATAATACCTTATTAAACAATTGGGAATATTGCTTCGCTATTGTTATTTGATTTAGTTTGATGTAAATCACCAGGCAGATCGATCATTTTGGGATATTTTTTTTTTAATTTTATCACCAAAATTACTAGTCCACGTAATGGACAAACATTTGAAAATCGACTCAAAATTGTCTGAAACGGATTTAATCCAAAGAAACCTTGGGACACTTTGATAAGGACCAAATCCGTTTCAGGAAATTTGGAGTCAATTTACAAATGTCGGTCTGCCTCTCGGAGGGAGAAATATATTTCATTCAAACTTTGCACATCTTAATATTTCTTCCAAACATAGTTCAAGTTCGAAGATGGGATATATCGGTCCACTCCTTCTGGCACCTCCCCCACAAAATGGTCAAAATTATGCAAAAAATTAATTTTATAATATCATGCGAACGGACTATCCGATTTGAATCAAACTTTGTACAACCTACTTCCTTACCACGGCTAGATCAAGTCCGATGATGGGACCCATTGGTCCACTGCTTTTGGTACCTCCCCCACAAATGGTCAATAATTTCAATATTTATAAATCCAATATTAGGCGAACGAAACGAACCAATTTGAAACACGCTTTGCACAACCTATTATTTCTACCAAGCCTATATCAAGTCCGAAGATGAGACCCATTAGTCTAATCTTTCAGGTACAAAATGGTCAAAATTAGGCAAAAAGCGCATTTGCGCACTGCTAAATGTCGTCGATTAAAAAATGTTAATTGTTTCTCCAAATATCTTCATTTCACCAGCCCATTTGCTTGATAGGTAGCTCTGCCATCATGACACTATGACATCACTTTCGCATAATCAAATAAAATATTTTTCCTAGTACTGTTGAGGTTCAAAATTTGCCCCGTAACCTTGTTCTTTTTGTAAAGTACCTGTGAAATGGAACGTGGAATGTAATTAGACCATAATAGATGTTGGGGCTTTCGTTGATAAATTTTAAACAAGACGGCACACCTTGCGACCAAAGTTATATCCCGAATTCGTTAAACTGAGAGTATTCGTTGTACTGTGACCGTTTTTGACATAGACCGTTTTTAATTTTAAAACACAATTATTTTATTATTATTGAGATTTTCGAAGAAAAGTCGATAACAAATTAATTTTTTTGCCCTCAATATAATTGTTTTATAGTTTATAATTGTAATGTAAATTATTTGTTATATTTCTAAAAAACAATTAATACACGAATTTATGAATAAAAAAATATTATTAATAAAAAAATATTTATTTTTCTTCTTTTTTTCGAAAAGTGTGAATTCACTACGTTATTTGCAAAACAAACATAAATATATTTTTTAGTTTGTTTTCTCCTATATTCTTTCTATATTTGCCAATACCCTATCTAAAATATACGACTGTTTGTTTATACTCACTCACAAACACATTGGAAGGCGATGACGACCGACCGACCAATTTTATGGATAGAACGGTTGTTTGTGATTCTTCATTATGGAAATGTATGATATCTATATTTATGTGTAGGTACAAATGTATGTCTGTTGCATATATGTATGTATGGCTATAACTAACTGTGTATGACATCGTTATGAGTGCCTCCGTTGTCGTCTGTTTGTGCTGCATAATCAGACATCGTATAAAAAACCCTACAATTTTTCATACAGCCATAATAGTATATCTATAGATGTATGTCAAAGTATTAGCTACGTGAATACATACATACATATATGGATGGATGTATGTGAGCTGTTGTTGTTGTTGTTTTTTGTTTTAATTGCGACACGGTGTCGACAACAAATGTCGGCTATGCGATGATGATGTCACTTGTTAGAGTTAGCAGAACAGAAAAAAATAAACACTACTAAAAAGAATAAGACCACGAAGAGTAGAGAAGGAAAGAAAAACTTAACAAAATATAGTAGAATATTAAATAATAACAAAAACACATTTGCTCTCACCACTCTCGTTTTTCATACTCTTTTTGTTTCTTTACTATTCAACAAATCGCTTAATCTCTTTCTCCGCCTTTTTGTCTAAAAAACACACACACACAAACCCCAGCAACTGGGAGGAGAAAGGAGTGTTAAACAGAATTTAACTGTTTATCACAACACAGCTAAATAGCTCTTCAACAAACAAGTTAAATAAATAATTAAAAGCAAAAAAAAAAAAAGAAGACTAAAACGAACCGACAGAGAGTAGTGATGAGCAAATCATGAGGCAATAACAAGCAAGCCTCTCTAACCCCAGCTAAATTATTTTGCACTGGAAGAAGGAATGCCGATGGGGAATTCGTTTTACGACCACCATCTACTCGAATAAAGGTCAACGATGTATGAGGTCAGTTTATTGTTGTTGCTGTTGTCATGGCAATAACTATTGAACGTTTTTTTTTTCTGTTTCCTCGGGGAACAATTCAAAATTAGTTTTTGTGGGTATGTTTTTTTCGAAAAAAATAAAATATTGTTAGGTTTTTTGTTTTTTTTGAAAATAATCAGTCATTATTGTTTGTCATTAATCAGTTAATTAAGATAGATATGTGAGTTTGTTCCGTTCAATTACCTATGTGATGAGCAAATCATTTATCATATTAATGTTTAATATTTTTTCAATTTGTTTCCATCAATAGAAAAATATAAATGTATACCTAGACGTATGATTAATAAAATATCTGCATTATGTATACGTTTGAAGATATCCAAGAAGTTAAGATATTTCTCAGTGAAATAACTAAGGTACACATTTAGGGACAACATGAATTATATATATTTTTTATTAGGTTTTCGATTGTTGGGGTAACTTTGTATTAAGAAACTTGGGTTCTAAAACCGACAACCGACAGCCGTTATTGAGTGAATTTCTAAAAATTGTTTTATTATATTTGTTGCATCGTGCTTTAAAGTCCCCTATATTATTGCTGAAATTAACATTTATTAATAAATATTTAAGATTGAAAATTGAATTCTGGCGTTAAAGTATATATACCTTCTATTAAAGCGTATATATTGCGGTATACCTAATTAATTTAATGCGACACCTTTGTTACCCTTTTAGAAATAATATTTATAAGAGACTGAAACAATGGATTTTTCTAAAATAATTTAAGTCGAACAATAAATATTGAGTAATATTTTCTACGAAGCAATGGTTTTGTGACTGGCTGATGGGATTACTCAATCGACCCGATAATTGAATACACTTATATAGTACCGTATCGAATGGAGTCGTGTCCAAACAAATATTTCAAAATATTGCAAACCGAATGTTAATTTTATAATTCCCTTTAGATGTGCTGATGAAAGACATAAACGTATAAAGATACGACTGTCGATACGTAAGCAATTTCCAAAAGATGGCTTTTCCTCTGTTGTTACGATATCATAACAACAGAGAGAACAGTATTAAACGTTTTTAGTGTTATATCTTAAGCTTATAAAATTAAAATATATATTTTGAGTGCAGACCTCTGATTTTCTCTGTTCTAGAAGTATTAAAAAAGGTAAAGATAGGCTAAATTGTTATATACATTTAGACATTTGAAATTATCTCCCACAAGAAGATGCTTATTTCATAGGTACATCTGTTGAGTTTTCTAGATGTTCTTATATAGGTAATCTGTGTTCTTAATTTGTAACACTAAAAACTGCATTCCAATGTAAACAACAGCAGTTCATTATTACAAACGATGTCACACCATTCAAAACATATTAAACTACACAAACCACTTCACTTTCCTCCTCCCTCCAACCATCCATCCATAGTCATAAATCACAGATTTTAAAGATGCTCCATTTCTACTTCTTCTTTTCGAAAAGAAACGTGTGTAGTAATTTTCAGTTTATTTTTGGTACAACAACAGCAACAGCCAGTTGTTTCCCATCACTTCCTAATGAAACCTTGATGTATATTATTGTAAAATGCCCATAAAAATCGGGAAATGAGTCTATTTTTCAAGATCATAATCAATCAGCAAATGGACGCCTTCAAAATTTCATAATCAACATTCATCCATCCATCTGAAGGCCACCAACCAACCCCCTTTAAAATGTGTGTGTTATTGGTGGGTGTACACAAAAAACACCATCATAGACTTGTTAAAAATAGAATTGTTAATTGTTTTAGGAGGACTTTGGCTTCCCTCACTCCACCATAGTATTTCCAGCAAAAGCATCGCCGACCTCTAATTAAAATGAAGGCAGCAGCTAACAAAAACAAAACAATAAACTTCTGCGTACATTTTTTTGTTTACATCGCCTGTGGTGAGATGTACCAAAACGAGAATATAATGAGAAAAAATAACAACAAATGCAATAAATACACGAAGCACACACACACACTTGCAAACATCACGTACATGTTAAGGTGTGAATAACTAAAACATCAATTGCCCGCTTCATAGAGAAACAAACCAATTGAGAAAACGTCATTTTAGTTCACTATGGATCGATTGAGAGACGGAGAGAGGTGAAAATCGGAAAAGAGTATCTCTTTCAAATGAGAGTTTTTATTTATGTAATTATATGCATGGAGGGAGGCAAATTAAACAAAAATACACTTGTTTTGCAGTAATTATCAACAAAGTCACATACACACTCACAAAGAGAAACAAAACTTTAAATAATTAGTTGAACTTTCCTAATTGAATAAACAACAATTGCACAACAAACAATAACACAGTGTATACATCTGCATATATGGTCAAATGCCGGCTGTGCCACACAATATGACAGACAGACGTACAATGACTTTTTAAGGAGGATAGTGCAATGAGATTCAGAAAAAAATTAATAAATAAAAATATACATTTTTGAATACAGCTATTCAAATGTTAATAATACTTTGTGCAACTTTTACGTTTCGTGTACAATTTGTCACAATTAATTGATAAAGCAACAATGATTGTGGTGCAGCGTACTTTAAAATATAAATTTCCATAATTGTTATTCTACTCTCTCTCTTTCTTTATAACTATGTATTCTACATATTTGACTGTCGAACATATTACGATAACATCAATAATTTGAATTTTTTAATTTTAATTTTTTTGTTCATGTCATCCGATGAGCTAATCGTTAGACTACATACCTACCATTCATAAGAAACTCCTTTTCCTCAACATTAATGTATTTTTTTTTTCATTTTGCAGGCAAACAAAAAATTTATTGCGCCAAATGCGATAAAAAATGTTCGGGTGAGGTGTTACGTGTTGCCGATAAGCATTTCCACAAAGCTTGCTTTCAATGCTGCCAATGTAAAAAGTCACTAGCCTCCGGTGGTTTCTTTACCAAAGATGGTGCTTACTATTGCATACCCGACTATCAGCGTCTGTATGGAACAAAATGTGCTGCATGCTCGCAATATGTCGAGGGCGAAGTGGTCTCAACGATGGGTAAAACCTATCACCAAAAGTGTTTCACATGCTCCAAATGTAAACAGCCCTTCAAATCGGGTAGTAAGGTAAGATTTGAATATTTGTAGTAAATTGTATTAAAATTAATAATTAAATATTGAAAACAATTGTTTCGATTTTCGATTGTCCACAAAGGGATAAGGCAAGGAAGGCGATAGTTTTGGATCCCACAAATGATTCTTATCAGTTGCCATAGTTTTTTGTTAGGGACATTCTCCCCAGAAGTAGCTTCTTTACAACAACAACAAATCGAAGTATTTACGATACCATCCGACTGAGACGTTTGTTGGTGCCTTACTTCGTGGTTAACAGGTTAGACGCATACCAAATTCTAGAGTGGAATTGATATTTTCATTCCATAGCTTAAGGTATTCCTAAATGGTCACACAAACATTTAAAACTTTCCTCATTGCAATCCAAAGCAGTTGTGTAGGCGTCTCGAAAGTGTAGAAAGTAGCAAAAGGCGATAAGAATTCGCTTAGCATTTATTCTATAATTTACAATGAGGTACCATCTAGGTTCGATATTTCCTGGCATTTGACGATTTCTAAATGCTCTTTTTTAAATAATTTCCCTAGGCAATTTAAAATTAATTTCCTCGCGAGTAAAAATGTCTCAGAAAAATCTGCACGGCTCGAGATTTTTGCTATGAAGAAACTAGTATAGTTTCCATTATAATTATCATAAGTGCGGATGTGTCTTTAAACCACCAACCTACCATCCAACCACCATTACTCCTTTAAGAAAACGATTTCAAACAAACAGAATTCTGCATTCTTGAAACAATGTTAGATAATTGCACTTCAGTATTTCAAGATAACGTTGCTAATTTTTCCCCTGCATTATCAATAGCACAACGATTGACGTCACGAGTTATTCATGTTATTAAGTTGTCTATTCTACAAAGCTAGTCCACCATATATTTTTGTTTGTATTAAGAAAAATATTTATCAGCTTGCAAAATACTAAAAAATAATTATGTTGATATTTTATATTATCTTTTGTGCGATCGATATTGTTCTTCAATATTTAAAATTGTCCAATTTTAAGTAACGTTTTGTTTCTATTTTTGTACCGTTCCAGGTAACTAATACAGGAAAAGAGGTGCTTTGCGAATCGTGTGTCACTGGAGGCACTGGTGCAGCTACATCACCCACACGACAAGTTGGCGGCAAGGATGGCACAACCTCTCCCACGCCTGTTGTCGAGTCTCCGACCAGGGCAACAGCCCATCAACAAATGAGCAGTGGCGTAGTATCAGATAAAGCGCATTTAAAAGAGGATTACGATCCAAATGACTGCGCCGGCTGTGGTGAAATGCTAAAGGAGGGACAAGCTTTGGTAGCCTTGGATCGTCAATGGCATGTCTGGTGTTTCCGTTGTAAATCGTGTGATGCAGTCCTGAATGGCGAATATATGGGCAAAGATGGTGTACCCTATTGTGAAAAGTGTTATCAGAAGTCATTCGGCGTTAAGTGTGCCTACTGTAATCGTTTCATTAGCGGCAAAGTGTTGCAGGCTGGCGAAAATCACCATTTCCATCCGACATGTGCCCGCTGTACCAAGTGTGGCGATCCGTTCGGCGATGGCGAAGAAATGTATTTGCAAGGCGGCGCCATATGGCATCCACGTTGCGGTCCTGGACCAAACGAATCGGGTTTGATATTGAATGGCTGTGGAGGCGGTGTATCAAATGGCAATTTCACTGATACAGAATGTGATCGTATGAGTTCGAGTGCTTTAAGTGATATGGTAAGATGACGCGTATATAGGATAACAACCAAAGAGAAATGTATTAGCACAAGTATTGGCAGGGTACTTCTTAAAACAATTACAACACATGTTGTGTGAAAACTGAACAAGAATTCCAGTTAAAAATGAAAATAACCATTTTATGTTTTTCGATAAAAATCGTTTGATTTATTGAGAAAGAAAATACTATTTGAATCGGATGATAACCCTATGTTTGTCTATATTAGTATGTCTTCCCTAGCTGTGTGACCAAAGTAAACACCGCGTTTAGTATGGTAAAAAACGTTTGAATAAAATCATTTTCGATCTGTTCATTTAATGCCTGAATATACATTTCAATTAATATAAATATGGCTACTATTTCAAGATTGGTTCACCTAATTAATTTTCAAATTTTAATACACAGAAAGTGTACACAAGCACTTTCTGTGTATTAAAGTTACTCATTAATCTTTTATTTCACTAAATCGTCATAATACTTTGTATGTTGCTCTATGTCGTCATTTGGACCGTTTAAATCATTCAGTGTATTTAAATTAGAGTTGCAAATTGTTATATCATATTTTTGAATATTGAAAAATGTTTTCACACAAATTGTGTTAAAGTGTTGTTTATCTTTTTTGTGCATCCAAAAGTAACAAAACAAATCACCTTCACAGCTGGCTGTACAAAAAAAAAACACCTTTGCTACTAATGTTGTCGTCTTCTACTCCTCATCATCACGATCATGCTATAGGAACATCAGCGATATCAAATTATATCAAAATTATAAAAAGAGGGCATGGTGCGGTGCCCAGAACAAAAACCAACCACCCCCTTATTTGAAAAGTATCACACACACACATAAAATATTAACACTCATCACAAATCACCTCACCACTCATTGTTTATATTTTTTTTTTTAACTTTTTTCATCTTTTGGAATTTTTATTAATAGCAAACAAAATATGTGCATTTTCTTTCCAATAATTACATGATTTATTTTTATTTGTTTCACACCATTTTCTGAGCTTGCAAGATTTTCTTTTTTGTTTTTTGTTTTGTTTACAGTACATAAGATCCCGAACGCCGAGTTTTAATGGTTCCGTATATTCCTCTAGCCGCAAGGTTTGTTTTTTAATTTATCATTTTCAAACTGATTTTTTATTTTTCTCAAAAAAAAGCCTTTGATTTTCTTTTGCTTTTGTATGCCTTGACTATCACTCTCACTTACTAACGAGTTCGTTCAATTTAAATATAATGAAATTCACAGAGAAGTAGAGAGTATATATAGATATTTTATAGACTACAATAAAATCATGCGTTATAAAACCGTACAATGTTAACATCTCAATTCTTCACCATTGCAGCACTATCGTACAGTTAGTCCTGGTCTGATTTTGCGCGAATACGGTCGCCATGGTGGCGAGGACATCTCTCGCATTTACACATACAGCTATTTAACAGATGCTCCCAATTATCTACGCAAGCCCATAGATCCCTATGATAAGACACCGTTGTCACCACACTTCCACAGACCATCATCATATGCTACCAGCACTGCCGGATCTGTGGCGGGAAGTAGGCCACCATCACGACCTGGCTCTCGTACCCGTAGTGCTATGAAGGTATTGGTAGATGCCATACGTTCAGAAACACCACGACCAAAGAGTCCTGCCATGAACAATGAGGAGCCGATTGAATTGTCACATTACCCAGCAGCTAAGAAACCACCACCAGGTGAAAAACCCAAAATCGAACGTGATGATTTCCCTGCACCACCATATCCCTACACAGATCCGGAACGTAGGCGTCGTTATAGCGATTCCTACAAAGGTGTGCCCGTATCTGATGACGAAGATGATACCGAAAATAAAAATGGAGAACAAGAAGAAGAGTGCGTTGCTTGATTTTATTATTCGTTATATTCTGGATTCTAATAATTAATTGTATTTCTTTTTGTTTGTCATTTCGTTGAATTACAGTCGTTTACAGCGCGAAGCTAAGGAATTGGAAAAATTAAATTCTGGCATTGGTGCAGCTATTGCCAAAGATTTAAAAGAGACGGCTAAATATCGTAAATGGAAACAACAGAATTTAGATCCAAGAAATGCATCACGCACAGCATCAGCAAACAAAGAACCTTTAAATAAATTAAGGTAAGTTTGAAGTTTAGTAGTTGCATCATTTCCGACTAAGATATTCCGAGTTAGTCATTCTTATTGATATTCTTATTGATATTTATCTTATACGTATATAAGGCTGTATTGCGGTAGTCCAATAATTGATGCAATCAAAAATATCTTACATATCGTTATTTTTGATTTTGAATGGCATTTTTTCTATATTGTCTACCATTTAAATATAAAACTCTCAGAAGCTCGTCTAGGAATATCCATGTTTATACTATAAAAAGGATCGCTAATAGTACTAATCAGTATGGCAGAGAAAATTTTGACATTTTCAAAATAAGAGAATATTCATTAACGAGCTCAAAGTGCAACCCACACTAAGAATACTATTGCATGAACAATTTAAACATTACAGATAACTATTGAAACATTTTTGGTATTCCGTAACAAAGTGTGACGACGACGATTATTTTTGTTGACGAATGAAGTGTTTGAAAATTTTTTTTTTTAAGAAATTAAAAAATATATGTCCGTAACAAAGTGTGACGACGACGATTATTTTTGTTGACGAATCAAGTGTTTGAAAAAAATTTTTTTAAGAAATTAAAAAAATCTACTCAATAAGTTTTGGAAAATTTCGTGTAAATAAAAATATATTGTGGGATCTGTATATAAATCTGGCCAATATGAATTGGGCTCGTCTTGTGCCAAAAAAAAGTTTCGTCCCATTCGGATCATAAAGGTGAACTGTAAGTTTTTTAAAATAATATATATGGACGGAGGGACATGCATAAATGGACTCAAAAAATAATTCGACTCGATAACAGAATCCAGAAATATATCCTAATTGTTTACACATACCTTTAATCATGATCTAAATGTCAATCAGCTGATGTTTGTTTTTATACATTCAAAATTTGTTATTTGCGCTAAAAAATTTGAAAATAAAAAGAAAAATCACAACATTTGAAATGTTCCTGCAATGTCTTTATTATTTTGAAATTCAAAATACGTGCTAAGTCTGGGTTTATACATGCAACTTTTGTAAGTAACTCTGCTGCTGCTCTCTACGATTCTCTTTTGAATTCCTTCTCCTTGTTACTTTGTATACCCCTGAATTCTAAGAACTCAGCAGAGTTGCTTACAAAAGTTGCATGTATAAACCCAGACTAAATACAACAATTGTATATAAATAAATTTTATTTTGTTTTTTTCGTACAAAACCGAGTTGCATCTCATCACGATTTCGTCCATGATTTCCAAGCCGACCGCATAATGATTTAAATATGTATGACAATTCATGGTATATTTAGCCCGATTAAGAAAATGACCCCTGATTCGGCCTTTAATAATGATCAAATGTTATATCTAAATCCGCTTGAACATAAATACCAGACAAATTTTTATTTTGAGACGCGAAGTGATTCTCACTCCACACAGTCTCAATTCGCATTCGCTTTTTTACACAAAAAATACTGAACCAAAAATGTTTAACAAATTTGTATTTTTATTATTATATAGTAATGAAACAATTGAAGGTTATAATTGAATATATTTTACATTAGTTTTGCATACTATTTTGCATACATTTTTACCATCAAAGACGTGTACACCTTTGGCGTATTTATTTTATTAAAGTACCGCTCAACTTTCGATATTCTACATAAACTTCTTTACAAAAAACTAAATAATTATCGTAGAATTTATTTTATAGATTTGTTGGTATTTTTGTAGGATTTGTTGGAATTTGCAGTTGCTTTCCGCTTTTTCAATTCAATTCGTCTTTATTTACTTTGTAATTGAAGCCAAATCACAATTTAATGGCCAATTTATACATAACAAACAATTTATTTATAAAACGTTATTTTATTACAGATACGAATCACCAATTGGTGCATCACCATCACGTAATTTGGATCATCAAAAACCCTTCTACGATGAGGATATGTTCGACCGTTCAACGAGTTACCGAGGATCACTGGGTAAATCATTGGGCAATGCTCCCAGTTATAACGGTAAGTTGTCTACATAAGTAAACAGTCCAATAAATCATATAGATCTTCTGGTCAAACTTATTACCTCTACTGCTAAACCAAAAAACAAACAAAACTAAAATATTGTACAGAGAACAAAATGCTGAAAGCCAAAATACCCTCCACAGATTCTTCTTTAAAACTACGGCGAAACGATACTACTGTATAATGTCTGTCGTTAGGCTTTTACAAAGCTTTGGGTTTACTGTTTTTCTTTTTAATCATTTATTGTTTATATTTTGTTTATAACTTTTATTCTTAATTTTCTTTTCGATTTTATTTCGGTTTATAAAAAATGGAAATCATTTTTCTTATGTTTTTGGGGTGTTTGTTTTCGAAACTCGTTCCAAAATTTGCAAATCCAACAAAAAACAAAATGAAAACACAGCTATACATTCCTACCGATCACCACCAAAACCTGGATATGGATTTAAAACTTCAACCTTGCCGCCGTATATTCGTAATGGCTATTCTTCAGTAAGTGTGAATAAATCTCTTAATTCCCCAAAAATATACAAAAAGAACAAATCTCAAGCAATATGAAATAGAAAAGCGCACATATCGTCACTAGCTGCAAAAGCTCTGCTTCCAACGTACCTGTAAATGCTGTGTTACTACTACTCTGAATCTAACTCTAATTTAAGCATAAATGCGATTGTCTTCTGTCGGTTGTTGGTATTGTGTTTTGGCTGTTACTTACTCACAAATTCTTCTACACTAGCATACACCATTGGTCTGGGCATTTGTTTTTCCAAATGTTTCTATTACATCATCGTCATTACAATCATACCATAATATACAATATTTGTCAAATTAAAACTCATTAAACAAGAAAAAACAAGTGTATGGACTATATCACCGTTGCTTCCAATTAGTTGTGTATAGTAAATATCTTTTATATGATATATTTTTTGTATTTATTCTATTTTGACAGCCAGCCATATTAGTAAACCTATAGAATATTTGAAACAATAGCAAGATGTTGTAATGAATTTATATGATTACAAAGTTTTCTGAAATTGTCCAATTTTGTCAGTGATATTTATAGGTGGTGTTAGAAAAATAAAGTACCAGGCGCGCTCTCTACTATTTACGAGTAAACAAAACTTGTAGAGGGCCTATAAAACAAGAAACAAATCTGGGATAAAACAAACACTTTACAAGTTTTTTGATATGTAACCTATGAATTTAGAAAATATAAAAAAAAAACATTTTCAGAAAAAATAGAAAACATGAATTAGGAGCAAATAACTATGGGTTCTTACTACAGTCAAAAGAAATAGAATTATTTTCTTTATTTAGGTCAATAGGTGATAGGCAAATATGTCACAATTTTGGGGGGAAAAGAAGAAGGAATATGTTTTAAAATATAAACTCTAATAATGCGAATTATGAATAGTTGTTCCTTGTTCGAATGCCCGTCAGATGGCTTTGATACCAATTTATTTTTATTGTTAAAGTTTCGATTTCATTCCAATAATAATCGGAATTGTATACAAATTTAAAATATAAAGTTCCTGTTTTATTTATATCCATAATTCTAACAGTAGCGAAAAAACGCACAAATTTATTTTTTAAGTGTAACCAATTTGTATGGTTACTTGATTAATGATTAACTTTTGGGTAAATGGTAATACACACTTCTCTTGAATAATATACATAATAATATTAACTCTTTACTTTATTTTGCATTTTTACAACTATGCTTTTATCTTTATATCTCATAAATATATATTTTTCCTCTATTTTAAATGCCGCCTAATAAAAATAAAAAAAAATATTTTAACAAATGCAATCTTCGGGATATTCAACAAACAATAATTTTTCTGGTGATTATCACTAATACGCGTGGTGAATATCACAACACACATTTATGGGACATTCTCGGCTCCAAACTAAATCCATCAACATGTAATGTGTATCTTGGAACTACTAAAAACGTCTTGTTAACAACATTACTAAAAAAATTCGGTGCTTTTGGTGAATACAAACGAAAATAATAACCCTTTTTTGTAACGATTGTGCACAAATTCGAAACAATAACTAATATTTTTTTGTTATTACCTTTCCCCCAATAATAAAAAATTAAAAAAAAAACAATGTATTTGTAAATATTACCTGAACGACATACACCACCACACACTCATGTATTTCATTTGAACACGACTTCATTGCAACATAATCGTTAAATAAATACAAACATCTCTCACACACAAACGAACCGAAACGACGTCATTGTCAACGACAACCACACAACGATCATCATCATCATGGCCAATACAAATAAAACACAACAAATACAATTACACTTTGGATCGTCATCGTCGTCAACATCAACATTTCACCGCCCACTCATTCATCCACTCATCTAATCATTACCACATCTCGCTACCGGAACCATTTAAACATGCATGTCCGTTGTAATTTTTCTTGTTATCGTTGTTGTGCTCTTGTGTAATGCCTTTACTGTTATGTGTGTACGTCTCTCGACTTTGTCTGGTTTTCCACTATTCAGTGGTAAGCTCTCTTCGTCATGTCCCCAAACCTGGATACGGCTTAGCTCCACGTTCCCACACTTTCAGTTCAACCACATCGGCCGGCGCCATGATGCACGGCGTCACCGTAAGCGCTTTATATTCATTCAGTATTTGTAGACTATATACATATATATAAATATACAATCATACACAAATTTGTATATAGTATGTATTGTGTATTAAATTTGCGGCTTGTTACTAAATAATATTACACCAAACAAACCACATTCGCACTTTATTTTTAATTTGCATTATTTTTATTGTTGTCATTTTGATTTGATAAATTATTATTAAATTTGTATATATAAGTTGTACAAATTGTTGCAACTAAGTTCCAACTTTAGAAGGATATCTATTACATTCGAATATTTTTTTTTTTAATTAGACGCCAGCATCATATTTATATATTTGGTTATTTTTATAGCTCATCATTTTTTTTTATTTAAATTAAAAAATAGACAGGTTTATAAAAGGCATACAAATAAAATACAATTTCAAGACACAAATGAAATCTTAGATTCATGTGTTTGATCTAGTTCCTAAAATTGAAAATAAAAACAATAATAGGAAAAACAGTGTAATCATTTTTAAATTAATTTGAGAAGAAAAACAAATAATTTTACATCTTTTAATTTATACCATATTCTGTTTCATTATAATAATGCAAAAATTCACTATAAGGTATAGCAATATATTTTTATTTTTCTTGGCTTTTAATACTAATTGCCTTGTTTCAATTTTAAGTTTTGGAGACTTAGGCCGTATCTTGACGAAAATACAAAAAAAAAATCTTTTTGCTAAGCTTTGCATTTTAAATTCCATCCTTGTAACATAGATTTTAAGCATGTAAATATTTATTATTATTATTTTTTTTTTTTTACTTTTTCTGCTTGCTCGCATGATTTTTTCTCATCTTAATATCATCACGCTTTCTAGTATAAAAAAACAACAGCATTCACAATTTAATAATTACCAATTTTGTACTGTAGGACTATTCGTATGGAGGATTAGGTGATAAAACGCACAGTACCGATCTGAGTTGTGGGAAGTCCGAAGGTAATAAACACATAGTTATTTTATAATAATAGTTTATTAATATCAAAGTATTTTTCATGCAACACTTTAGCCTCAGTCGACTCGATAACGGAAGGTGATAGACGCGCTTTGATGGGCGGCGATTTACCCGCCTCGAGTACATATTCGGGTGCTTTATCTTACCATTATCCCCAAGCTGGTTTAATACGCCGTAGTTTGCCAAATATGGCTCATTCAATGTTGGTTCACGAACCTGCAAAAATTTATCCTTATCACTTGTTGGTCATCACTAATTATCGTTTGCCTTCGGATGTTGATCGCTGCAATTTGGAGGTAAGTTAACATCTTTTTTAATGTATGAAACGAATTCGGTTTGGGGAAGATTATAAATCGAATGATACACGACGTCAATTTTGTCATGAAATTTTGCAGAGGCAACAAATTGAGACGGGAATAGCTACCAGCATATATGTATATATAAAGTTTTTTACACAAATTGTAGATTAATACATTTTATTTACATTTTGTCTTACAGCGACATTTATCGGATGTTGAATTCGAGCACATTCTTCAATGTACCAGAGCCGATTTCTACAGATTCCCACAGTGGCGAAGAAATGAAATGAAACGACGAGTAAAATTATTCTAAATGGTCCATTTGCTGCGAAAAAAGTTGTTAATTGTTCAAACACTACTACACATGGCTTTGTGTATGTAAATACAAAACCAGTTTCAAGCCAAACTGTGGAAAATGATACCAAAAGCAGAAATAATTATTCTTTTGTTTTCAACAAAAAAATATGCAACAGCAAATTTAAATACATTTGCTAAATCTCGATTCAGAACCAAACCAAGTAACACAGCTTTAGCAAGGAATATATTGAAGAAGACAAACGACAACCAAATGATGAATAAAATACAAAAAAAAAAAAAAACACACCACCCCCTTAAACGATGCAACACAGAAGAAAATTATTGCTAACAGCAACCACACCCTCACTAATCACGTCACTGTCATCAACCATCACTTATGAATGTATGCAGCTTTTATTATTATTTTCTAAACACTATGTGGCAACTAAAAAACCGTGTTTAGGCTTTTCCGGTTTGAAATCCTTTTGAAGGTCCCAAAACCATTTTTTATCTGCCGCTGACTTTGTAGCAACGCATGGCATTATTGAGAAGCTTTTTTTTCTTTATATACTATATACACACATAAAAGATACATGCATATTATATACTAGGTTTCTATCAAATTTATTGTAAACAAATATGTATTTTTAAGGCGAACTACCATTTGATGATTCGTATATTATTTTCCGTTTTGCTAATGTATGCAAAAACAATTACAAGAGATTACAACCAGAAAATTTCCCCAGATAGATCCAAACTTCTTGTTTCCACTATACAGTGTCTCTAAATTAAAATTTTAAATTATATATAGATTTTTGTTTTCAATTTTTTTTTTTTTGGTATTCGTCTATGCAGCTATTTTTATAGTTTATAATTTTGCAAAAAAATAAACGTGCATATTTTTGTTTTTGTTTTCATATTTTTTATTTTACAATGAGTAGCTATCAGAGTAAATATATTTTATATAAATGTCATATAAAATAAAGATATATATTTTATTTATTAATAAATAATGCAACAGAAATGATACAAACTAAAATCAAATCAAGATTATGGAAAAGTACCGAAAGAACAATTGATTGTAACTTGATTATAAATTATAAGCTTATATAGTAATTATTAAAGAAAATAAATAAAACAAACAAATTAAAATTTCGAACGCTGATAAAAAAAACATAGGTGTTTGTGTGTGATGGTTTTGTATATAGGAAGGTCACATGATTGAATAATTCATTATTGATCTCGTTATTTTCGGTTAGATGTGTTAAAAGTAGAAAAAAAAGAAACATTTTAAGCCAAATTTATAAAAAATAATCGAATATAATCTTGTATACCGTGGGGTAAAAGTAAAAAAAAATAAACTGATTTATGAACTATTTTAGATAGTGCATCGAGTTGCGTTGGGGACTTTAAAGAACAATATAATATTAAAGCAGTATTGACTATTTGACAATATCCGTTGTTAAATTATTCGCATATTTGACACTCAGCTACCATATATGTGTATCAGAGAACAGATTTACACATTCTCACAATAGGGGGACGGGAGAAAATGTTGTTATGAATTGGGAAGAAAGAATAAACGCCAAAGAATACGATATATGTTTCATTGTAAAAATCTTATTTTTTCTTATAATTATAACAAGTATAAAATGTGTCAGTTGGTGTTTTCGGTGGAGATATACCCTCAGTCTATTTTATAATTTCCTGTTTATAAAGTATATATGTTTTCATCAAAGAGTTGACCATCTGTGAAGAGGTACCAAGAGACGTTGCTTTATATACTCTATCTTCGGATTTGATCTATAATATGTAAAAATATTAGAGTAACTTCGGGTAATGTGGACCACCATTTTCTTTTTTTGATATTGTGGGCGTAACAACGGTAAAAAATAAAAACAAATTGTTTTCACAGCATGGTTGTTGGCTAATTATATTCCAGGTCAAAAATTATATATATTTGTCCATAAAAATGTTATTGCATTATATTTCAAAAAACTCTAAACTGCATATAAAAATAACTTGGCGGGTAATGTGGACCAGTATGTGTGGGTAATGAGGATCAGTAAGTTAAAGGTAGGTTGTGGATTAATTGTGATAAATTTCAATTTATTGCACTCTTGGGTAACAATGAATGCAAAAATATATGGGTCCATGTTTTGGAATTGCCCCCATTTAAGGGTACCACCCCATTTGCGGTATTTTGAAGGTCCTTGCTTCTTTATCCAACCGAGGCACCTATAATTTCGGATATCGAGTTTTCAGAGGATTGAATACCTCCTCGCAGATTAAATGCGCCCTTGTTTCGAACTCGTCCTCATGAAAATGTCCCACTTTTTTATAGTGGTCCACATTGCCCGACATTGAATATTTTTATTTAAAAAAATTTATCGGCTTCAAAAATGAATAAAAATTTAAAAATAACCGAAAGTAATTACAGATAAACGTGTATTTTTGTTAAAGAAAACAAGAAAACCACATAACCTCTTTATATTCGAGAAAAACAAAATGTTCGACTATTTTACAAAATCGTTCGACTATTGCGCTAAAAAATTTTCAAATCACACTTTTGCAATCAGAGCTACATTTTCACCTACTAAATTTTCAACATTGCAATTATTTATTAAAAACCAAGTTTGATGTTTGTTTTCACTAATTAGGAAAACATTTTTCAAGGCGGCATTGGCATATTTCAAGAATTTTCTTAGATATGGGGGGTGGTCCACATTTGACGCATGGTCCACATTACCAGAAGTTACTCTACGATGCGTAAATTTTGGATAAAATCGCACACTTCATTCGCTTATCAGATTTATAAAAATTGAAAAATTTTACCCTTTGTGTGGGAGGTACGTACTACAAGGAATTGGTATCGGTCAATTCCTTGTCCCATCTTCCAACAATATGCAGACTTGGTAAAAATAAAAGATTGTACAATGTTTTGTTAAAATCGGAGCAAATTGTATGAATCCTGTATATTGTTGGAAGATGGGACTTATCTGCACATTCTTCCCCCATGAAATGGTAAACATTTAGATATTTTTGTAGTCCAATAACAATCGTATGGAATGTCTTATTTGATACCAAATACACATATAGTAATATATTTTTGAAACTTAAATAAAGTTCGAAGATGTGATTTTATTTAAATATCTGCTGTAGGTCCAAAGTTATAGGGAAAACAAATGAGGGATACATTTTGAATAATACTTTTTTGTAATCTACCCCTTCAATAGATGACACTGAAGCAAGTGTTTGGCAGTGCTGCCAAATTTAGAGAAAATGATCGGTTTTTTTTTACTTCATAGTAGTTGTCAAGTAGGCTGGTGGAATACATTTATCATGTATTAATTTACCACGACAAGTCATCAGCATTTTATTCTTCATAACATTGATGCAGAACAAATTTTAAGCCTCTGCATGTAAACGCAAAGTTAGACGTTCATTTTACGAAATCCGGAATCCAAAGCCTTAACAGCTGATTTTCACTTCTTTCGTGTATTTTTCTATACAAAGCACAATGGGCTGTTGACCGTTATGCATCGCACTCATTCGTAAACAATAGGTCTCTTGACCATTTTGCTTTAAGCTCTTTTTTATCAGCCACCCTCCTTGCCAACGCTATTCATATCATATGGAACGGTTTTCAATTCGATCGGTTCAGGGCCACCACAACCAACGTCTGGTCTTTTCTTTCTTTCCCGGTCGGTTCCAATGTGATTTGGATATATTCTCTCTCAGAAATGTCAGCCTTAAGTATGGATGCCTTGGAATTGAACAGCCAGCCTTCTCGGCCTAAATCAATGTCCAAATCGGCCAAATTTTTAATTTTTGCCACGGGCGGAGTTGGTGTTGGTTTGTCCGTTGTCTGTGCTTCATTTGTTGCGCCCGCTTTCCGAAGAATCTGCCTGCCCTATGTTCCGGCTACTCCAGAACAAGTGTCAAATGTTCTAAAATTCCTACCAGCTAAAGGTCCCAAACGTTTGCTGGACATTGGCTCCGGCGACGGAAGAATAGTAATCGGTAGGTGTTGGTTATGTTTACATAACATGGATGTGGGAATTGTCTGCCAAAATTACATTACATAGAGCCTCCTAATATTTCGTCCAATCATAGCCACTGCCAAACACGGTATTCAATCAGATGGTGTAGAACTTAACCCATGGCTCGTATGGTGGTCTCGTTTAGCAGCACTACGTGAAGGTGTAAATTCCAAAACCAAGTTCTATCGCAGAGATTTGTGGAAGTTTAGTTTGAAGCCATATGACTATGTGGTTATTTTTGGAGTTGAACAAATGGTAAGTCAACAGAAGACACCAAAAGATCACCGACTAATCGAATCGTCTGCATTTTCCGTATCATGAACAGATGAAAGATTTAGAGCACAAATTGATAGCCGAAGTACCTTCCTCCAAAGTGATAGCCTGCCGTTTTCCATTGCCAACATTAGAACCATTAAAGGTCATAGAGGATGGTGTCAATTCCGTGTGGTTCTATGATCTAAGCAAAAGCAAACCGAGCAACCACCCTAGTCAATAAAGTTAGTTAAATTATTTCTTTTTTGCTTTTTAATATGTATTTAGTTTACTTTTTTTGAAAAAATAAAAACATTGTGATTTAAATGCATTTCTTGACGGCTGACAAAAGAAGGAAACATTGCAAAATTGTCTGTTGTATAGTTGTTGTTGTATCTTATATAAATGTATATAGTATAGAGGGTGCCTAATAAGGACACCGATATCTAAAAAACGATATAAATACTAGCATTAAAATTGAAAATTACGCTTTTCCGAACAGCGTAAATGTTGTTGGTTCGTTCGCTTGTTTCTGAATCAATTGTAAAAAATCTGAAAACTTATACACAGCTAAAGTAAAAAATTGTGGGCGGGCTGGCGTGATTTGTAAATATCTATAAAGGAATTTCGTGTTCACCTGTCGGTACGCATCTCTACAAACAATTGGCGGAGGCTGATTTGTTTTAGTGCGATTTGTGTATTACCAAATGATACAGATTTTTAGAATAAAAGAGATTCCGCATTGAGCACAATGCTCACTTCTTCAACAAGAACCCATTACTGGTTGAACATTTGCGGTGCTAGAAACGACGTCCAAAGTAAATGTAATCTGGCCCATCGCGATAAATTTCCGCAAAACCAAGTCGTGCATAGTATTGCAACAATTCCATGCCAGCCTCCTTAGCCGACAATCGTATGTGGACCCCAAGGCAACCATTGGCCCTTAATGTTGCCAAAAGAACGGTAATTAGTCGCTTGGCAACACCGTAGTCTGGGTTTAGGCACGATTCCAATACAGCAGACGTCATTACGGCCGGATAAGAACTACTGACTTCAGGTGGACACTGCGGTTCATAGCCATGGAACTCCTTAATCATTGAGCGCAGAGTTGCCCCGGCTTTTTGAGATGTAGGTGTCACTATGTCAAACATTTCCAATTCCTCCGAGCTCTCTGGATATTTCTCTTTCATTTCGGGTATCCAGCAGATTTGAACATTACGGGCAAACGCATGGAAATCCAGTGCCGCAGCCGCATATCCTACAACTTTGTTTGTGCAATCAGTTGCCACAATACAAAATTCAGGATGTAAGGTGACAAATGGTCCAATAATACTGTCCGCAATTAGATCCGTAAACTTCGAATTCAAATGTAATGGTATATCTTTCTCCTCGGCGGATGTTGGGATGGATAATGTCAGAAAACCTTGGGTACAGACCATATTAACGGCAGCTTCATCCATTACGCTATAGGGGCGCATTGTGTAATAATCTGTGGTTGGCAGTTCAGGCAATTTGTAGACAAATAAGTCGTTGCCCTGATCGATAGGCATTAATCTTTGTAAATCAGCAATTAGGCCGCCGCGGAACACCCATGGCTCTTGATCGCCCGACATAAAAGCTTCCTTCCAGCCTTTGCTGAACCCTAAGATATAAAATATAAAAACAAATCAGAAAGGAATTGTGGGTATTGGGAGTGCACTCTCACATGTATAACTTCCTTGGGTGTATGCGTAGACGTTGGTCGGAAAATGGCCCAAGCTAAGCCACTTTACAAAAGCATCCAAAAGGGACAACGCCCCAGCAATGTCCCAGACGTAAGAAAACAAGTCATGACATATTTCCTTATTTTCGCACAGAGCAACTTTCTGTAAAAGTTCGTACACCGATTTGCATAATTTTGAAAAATATTCGGCCTTCTGTAACCACTCGGCCACTTCAGGTTTTGTGGAGCCGTCAGCGACAGGAGTAGTTTTCGCTGATTTTGCCTCCAACAAGACGTGGGCATTCGCCTTAAGCCAATTGAATTCATTGAGTAATTTGAAGCCACGACATCCATGTTCGAATGGTAAATAGAACAAATCGCAAAGGAAATACAAATCTTCTGCATTAATTTTAGAGGCTTCAATAGGCACCCTATAAATAGACGAAAAGTCATTAGCTGGGCACACAATGCATTCCAAACAAACTACATACTTTTCCACTTCTGTCATCTCGGCTATAGATATAGGGGATGACTCAACGCTCTCAACTTGCATAGTATTCTGAAAAGTTATAGCACATTAGGGATAGCTGATGATTTAAAGAGAAAATAAAATAACATACATTGATATTATCGCTATTTGAACTTGTTTCGGCCATAATAACGTCCTCGTTGACATTTACCGCCCCAGCTTTGCCGTTCTCATCTTTTGCGGAGATTTGCGAGGTTAAACTACTGCTGCATTCCATTGGTTCATTGCCAGCACTGACTGGGCTTAGGTTGTTGTCATCGGTCATTGCGTCAATTGAGAGACCTGAACTGTCAGCATCTCCGGGTTTCTCTTCTATTGCGACATCCTCTTCCAATTTGTTATCGTCTTTTAAAGTCTCCGGGACCTCGGGTAAAAATTCCTTATCGCTAGTAGTGGAAGTATCCGGTTTAACCGGCACTTCCTCAGCCTTTGTAGCCGGTGCAATCTCATCCACATCACGCATGTCATCACTATCGCTGTTTACCTCTTTCGATACCATTATTGGTACTGACACTATGGAGATAGGTATCTTCTTGGGTAACTCGATATTTGATGCTACACATGTTGGAATAGGATTGATGATGTCTTCGTTGGTTACTACCTTCGTAGGTGACACCAACGAATTCATCACCGCATTGGAAATAGGATTCACGGAGGATGAATTTACGGTACTGCACACATCAGCCAAGGCTTGTAGTTGCGTTGTATTCACTTGGGGGACATTGGGTGTTTTAGCATTGGTGGATGTCGTAGTTGTTGTCGTTAAGCTCATACACGTATTGATGGAGGGTATAATAGGTATGATGGGCATTACAACTATCAGGAAGGAAAACAAAATTTCTCATTAAACTCAAAGAGAATTTTATTTTATGTTAATACATACGGGTCACTTGAGGTTGTGGTTTTGTAATTGGTCCCCATGCCTCTTTTTCAACGAAGAATTCTGGTAGCCACTCGGATATGGCATTTCTGAAACATAAAACAACAGTATTAGTGTTACTATTCATTGGAGTGCCATTCATATACAAATAACTACTTCAATGCCATTCGGGGATGATAGATATTCTTCGACAAACAGCAATCCACTGGCAAATCATCTGAACCATTCTCATCATCGTTTTCAGTCTCCAGCCTAATGTCAGCCGATATGGAACCTATAACGGATTTTTTATGAGCTCTATATGGTGAATACATGACCTATCAAAGCAATACTTACTATTCACTCGGGAATCGAGTACACAACGCGACCAATAGGCTAGCGTGTGAATAGCCACAGTGTTGGCATGGAACTCACAATTCGGATTGGTCATAACACCTCTTAAATGTGGTATAATTTCCGGCGAGCGACCTGAATAGGGACCCAAGAAAACCCTCTTCTGGTCGTAGTCGTTGGCATGTAAATTATCCCAAATAACTGGAGGACGTCGCAGTACTTCCGTTATCTCTTGCAGTGATTCTACAGAAATTATTTTCGATATGACTTTGTCGCCAGTCCACATGATATCTATGTCATGATTTAGTTTTGAACCCAATGTATTCAAGTACTCAGAATCATGTACGGTAGGTACAGCACGTGAACTGCAATATTGGGTAGGGCAGAAAAGAAAGCGCGGGTTGCCCAGGTGAGTGTAGATTTCATTGGTCACCGAGACTTGAGCGTTGGCAAACGTTTGAAAAACCTCTTTATCTCCCTTGGACAGTTCAGATTCAATGTCGTCGAAAAGAAGTGCAAAGGCTTCACAACCAAATTGAGAGACTTGATCCAATTTACGTTTTAAGGTCTGCAACTCTTTTTGACTGCTGTACGTCATGTCCAAACCGGGAGATAAAGCATAATAAAACGTAATACCGTGCTCCTTGGCGGCCGATATTAAACCTAGTTTGTAAAGAATGAGAAATGATCAAATCTACAACGAAGATACAAAAATGCATTAATATACCAGCTAAGTGATCTGCTTCTTCGACCGTGTAAAGTTCACGCCAGTATGCACGATGCTTATAGTCATCCTTTGGAGCGTATACATACGAATCCATACCCCATTTTTTAAGTCTACGCAAATAAGAAAAGGTTGATTTAGTTCAAAGTGAATATGTCAATTACGGGGTACTTACTTCCTAAATAAGTCTTTTCTTTGTTCCGTAGTCCATGGTCGGCCGTAAAATCCCTCTATAACACCGCATATAAAATTTGGTTTCTTTTGTTCCTTGTTGGTGGCATCCACTGATGCACAGTCTTCCGAGTTTCTTGTTGTGTTTATCATTTGTCGGCTTCTATTTCAAAATTGCATACACAAGGTGCAAAGTCTAGTTTTTCGTGATAAAAAATAAAAAAAAATCTACTAATTTTCAATTTTCAAGGAGTTGGAATTAAAAAGATATTAATTTGTCGTAAAAACATGGTTGAGAACTGTCATACGAAACTGCGCCTTTCTTCATTGCCGGTCTTTTATACATGACTGGCAATAATTATGAACATAAGTTGTTTAAGTTGTTGGTAAATAGAGAACAATATACATGCCTACTACAGAAAAAAATCCTATTGATGGATACTTATGCACTCACACCTTTTCGCATAAACATTGGAATATTGTCCACACAACACACATATATTTTCTTTATCTCTGATATTGGAAAGGTCAGTTTCAAATCGAAATTCTTGCAAATTTATACACCCATCCGGAAAAATAAACATCCAACTCCCATTTCGGATTTTTTCTTAGCTTACTTTGTTTGTGTTTCCTTTCTATGCTCACACGTTATTTTTACGCCTTATCGCCGAAAATGTGCGAAACAAGGAAGCTGAAATATTTACCTAACAACCCACAATTAATTCCGCTGAAATTCTTTTGACTTTTGTTGTGTTTAGTTATTTTTCTAAAGCCGAAAACTATTTTGCGCGAAATAACCAAAAGAACCAAATAATAAAATACTATGGTTGGTTGGTTTATTTCCAAACCAATTACCAATTACCGTTCCTTTTAATTACAATGCCGCTTCTTAAAGTTTTGACGACGTTGCGGAATTGGACGAAATAGCTTTAAGACGTAACAGATAAAACCAGAATCAAAACAAACAAAATTGAACCTAAAAAAACGTTCCAACTGCTAACGCAGGGGATAAGACAAAATGACAGATAAAGAAGAACTGTTTACGAATGAGGTGGGAAAAAATACCCAAAGATAGGAATATGTAAGTCGACTTTTGATCATGGTGAAAATTGTAAAGTCGACCTTCGATTTTCTTTGGTATAGTACGTTTACATTGCACGGGATTTAGTAAAACCAGTGGGTTTTAATTGCTATTTCGATTACATATTTGTCAAATAAATCCTCATACAAATTGAGAAAAATTGAGGTGAATAACAAAAATGAAACTATGTAGGTAGTGGCTTCTTCTGTTACAACTTCACCTAAATTCCAACGAGGCGTACAAAAATATTCTACTCCCCAAAAATATTCAGGGCACAGCTACCAACTGATTACAATTTTTTCTCAAGGTGGCTTGTTCAATCAAATCAAAATACATATTTTGTGTATGTGTGCGTAATGTTTTGAATACTATGTCAAATAAATTCAAAATAAATTGAAATATATTCAAGTTTAATTGAAATGAAAATGATATTTTTCACACGTTCGTCTGGAAGTAATTACTTTGTTATGGATGAAACAAACATTTTATGGTATTCCCTACTGAATTTTGGAAGATAATCATAACCTTTCATTAATTTTTCTCGTTTTTAGTTTTGTGTTGAAAAAATGTCAAATAAACACAAACACACACGGAATTAATGTGTTCATTTGTTTTATTTTTGGCAGAAGAGGCCACACGTGCATAGTTGCTTTTTTGTTATTCACCTCAAGCTGCCGTACCTTGTATTATTGTACCATGATTCAAAGTCGATGTGTTTTCATAAAAACCGTTATTTATAGGAAAATTGCATGCAAATAATTTTCTATTTTCAAACTTAATCTCATATATATATCTAAGTGTTATATAAGCGGTGTACCACTAGCATTTTTGAATGACACTCTTGCCCAAATTTTGCTTGTTTGATAGTGTGGCCTCACATGTTTGTCATTCATCAGGCAACCACAAAAATATTTATGGTTGCTGGACCGTCAGTAATCGATAAAAAAGTTAACAGTCAAAAATGATAGTTGGTCTGTTCCAGTACTTTTTTAATAGTAACAGCCTGTTATTGTAAAATTCCAAACAAACGAATTCGAGTGAATTACGACCAAACCTTTATTTATGTTTAAAAATGTTTTCTGATTCAAACAAAAATAAATGACATATTTTTCAAAACCAAGGAGTTTGGTCGTAAGTCACTCGAAATCGTTCGTTTGGAATTTTACAAAAACAGGCTGTAAATCTAGTAAAAGGGAAACATTTCAAAATTGCTCTCAGAGTACAAAATAATTTGAAAAGTTCGGGAACGCAAATCTAGTAATTATGCCAAAATTAGATGACAATACTTCAAAATCAATATAACAGCCAATCAGAAGTACGCATTCCTGTGGGTCGATTCACTATCAAATTTAAACAATTCTCAAATCTATAAAATATTATACAAAATAAACAATGTTTCCACAACAGTTTTTAACAACAATTGTTAAAAAAGTTTTCAAAGAGAACGCCATTTTGTTTTGTGCTCTCTTAAATTTGAGTCAATGTTTTACCAGTTTTGGGGGTTGAGGAACGGTTTTCGAGTAAAAAGTTGCATAACATGTAAAATGAGTAGATTCTTTTAGGTTCTGGAACGGAACTAGTGTGTACACCGCTTTATGCCATGTACAGACGAGCGTCGTTCGCTCTCTCATTCGTTGTTCGACCCCTAATTATGAAGTAAAGGGCTAAACAGAATGTTCGCGTTGAGCGTTTTTTGTTATCGCGTTAACGCACGCAAAAGTTAAAATATTGTTACGAATATAAATTTAGATTTAAGTTACTTTAGATGAATTCCGTTAATTTAAGAATTTGAATTGTAACGTAAATTTCTACTACGCAGTTTATTTGAATAACTTCACAACAACAACTACTGTATAGATTTTTTACATCCTTCCATTTCCTCTTTCATTGTCTATTTTTTTGTTGACGTACAATTCTTGTTAAACGTCATCATTGATGATCGCTTAATTCCTCTTTCTTTGTTACCCCCTCACCTGTATATGTGTTGTTGTTATTGTTTACTCAATGTAAGTTTGTATGTGTTGTTATTGTTTACTCAATGTAAGTTTGTATGTATGTTAGTGTTATCGTTTCCTTGTGGTTGTTGTATTTTCGATAACACAAAACGCAACGGATGGCTCAGTTCCCCATACACAATTTTCTGAGCGAACACCGACTTTTGTACGTTGTTCAATTCGAATCACTCTCTGAATAACCAAGAATTTTGTCCCATCCCTAATATTTGAGAATATTTATCGAACATAAATTAATTTTGACAGTTTGAAAATATTTATGAAATTTTCAAACTTTTTCAGTAAAATTGAAAATGATGAATGAAAAGTAACAAATTGTCTAGTTTTTATATATACAGAAGGAAGTAAATTTTGTAATCTACATAATGCAATATGCATTTCTTTCCTCTTTGTTCTAATTAGCGTACAAAACGAGAAATAAATGTGGGGAAACCCAAACAAAAATTCTCCAATTTTTAACCCTTTCAGTGTCAAAAAATGTTTTTGTCGAAATAAAAATCTAAAATTTTTTACTTAAAATCATATGAAGGCACCAATTTTTAATATGATAACCAAAAATTTGCACATTTGAATATATCGACAAAAACACTGAAAGGGAAAATATAAAAATTTTTTCATAGCAACAATATTTTCGGAAAAATGGAAAACATGAATTAAAAGTAAATAGATATAGGTTCATACTATAGTCAGGAGAAAGAGAATTATTTTTTCTATTTAGATCCATATGTGATTCACGCAAATATGTTAACATTTTGGTGTAAAACAAGAAACAAAAAGTTTGAAATAAAAAACTCTAATGACATGAATTAAGAATAGTGTTGTGTGAACGGGTTAATTCATGTACGTAATTCTGAGAGCGAACTACGTTGTTCAAATGTCCGTCAGAACATGGCATTAGATTTGTGTCGATGTCATCATCGATTCCCGTATGTTTAAATTGTTATCGAATTTCTCACATCTCAATTGTTTGCTTGTTCGGTGTGTTTGCAGTGGTTTTTGTTGTGCCGGTGTTTACAAAATATTCGACTTTCATATCCAATGCAACCGTTCATTGTGATACGCAACTATCGGGAAGATGACGAACTCAAATGCCAGGAGTTGATACAGAACTACATCATGTCCTTCGCCAAGAAATCCTTCTACTGCTTCTGTTTCAGAGAGGTAATATGCGGGTCAAAATGTGCCCACATCTTTCCTGTGAATGTTGAACGTGTTTTATCTTTACATCAAATACAGTGCACCTTGTTCTGTGTGCTTTAATGAGATATGTGACCTTCGTAATTCGTTACAGATAACATTGCAGTTCATTGTGATTACCTGGGCAGTGTTGTTTATATTCTTTGGAGTGCCCTTAGTATTTTGTGCTCTAACCATTCCGGGCTGCATTTTCTTTTTATTCTCAGGGACATATTTCTCATTCTATGCGAAAGCGGTTGAGTTGATGCGGGTAAGTGGAACAGCTCTTTCCTAAATTATATAAATAATGTACGTAACATGTTTCCAGACAAAACCCAACCAATCTCTGGTAGCAGAGTGTTATGAACCGTTTATATTTCGCATGAAGCCGTCGGAATGTACCTATCAGATATTTTTGGATGATGCCCCCTATGAACCATCGTTCAAAAATAAATTTCGAAAAAAGGTTTGCTTTATATTAGATATTGGATGTATACAGGAATAAGCATTTGTCTCAATTTTAGATTATAGCCTGTATTAGTGTAAAGAATCACAATAGTGTTTATAATGCCGCTTGGATTTACCGATTTGCTGTTGCACCGGGATATCCGATTCAAAAGGTTGCCGAACCAATGATAAATTTAGTAACAAAAAATTGTGTGCAACTGGGTTATACCAGTTTGGAATGTACCATGTCAGAGTGGCAAGAAGAAGGACGAGATTTTTTTGATAATTTAGGGTGGGATATTTTTCTCTAAAATTATTATAAACAAAATTTATATTGGTTTTCCATTTCAGATTCATAACGAGGCAAATCTACCATAAACAAATAATAGGATCATCACTGACCGTAATGAAAACGCAATTAACGTACGACTTGACAAAGGATTCTTTGCAGAAACAAAACTGAACTTCCTCGAACATCACACCATTCATTACGAATTTATTGAATCTCTTGTTTTATTTATTAAGATGTACACACATATACAATGCATTCCTTCAGATGCTGTTCTTTTGAGATAAAAATGACAAATTATAATGTATTTTAAATACAAATATTTTCGTATATGCAATATAACACATATTCTCTAATAAATACACACACAATAACCCGTTACGCTTTTCATCTCACCTAAAATTATTGGAAGCGAAACTATATACGAAGCGCATTTCGTCTATAAGTATACAAAAATGTGTTACCCTTAATGAACAATTTTTAAAAAATCTATTCACCACCCAATCTCACATGTACGAATGGGTTTATCTGGAGGACAGAAATTCACTACATCTCAAGATATGAATTGAGTGCGGGCCTTAAAAAAATGATTTGTGTAGTATTCAGTATTTATAAATGGAAAACTAATCAGTAACATTTTCTTTAAGTGAAAACAATACAAATGATTATGTTTGTAATATTTACTCAGCTCCTCATTTTGAGAAAATACGAGAGATTCTTATTTCTCGAATAAAAACAAAAAGTATAATGTTTTACTGGGCAACATTTAGCACTGTTTTGCAAATATGTATTTTATTTATTTCATGAAAAAAAAAAAACGGTAGGTTTATAATTGGTACAATAACAAGATATAGGCTTACTTGACGAAATTAACGAAAACTGTAGTCTGGTGTAATGTCTTATGTCATATTTACATATAAACCTATTCTACAGGTTGTTTATATGAGACATTTTATTAAACAAGGAAAATATTGCAAAAAATGAATGGAATGTCAAGTTTTTTTCACAATATGGGATTCCAAATATAATTGTAATAATATTTCTTCCCCAAACATTAAAAGATTTTACTCTCGAATGCTGTAATGTTAAGTTTTAATTATAGTACGTTTACATTTAACCGGATTTCGTTAAACCAGTGGGTTCAATTGTCAATTCCTTTGCATATATGTCAAATAAATCCTCATGAAGTAGGTTAACCCGGTAAAAACTTCTAATGTATATGCCGTTTTACATCTGATTTTGAATCATTTTAATTTTTTGTCCTTTTCAAGACGTTAAATACACATATTAAAATCTAGTTTTTTTGACCAACAGGGACACACAAAAGAAAAAATTGTAACCAGGAGGTACCATTAACCTACCTCTTGTTATTGTGCCATGAGTTTATAAAAAATGTACTAGATGTAAATATAACTCGAAGGGTACGTAGACGATTTTAATACAATTACAATATGTTCCTGAAAAAGTATATTCAGGTACATTTACACCAAACGTGTTTTACAACATCGTTAATCGTCATTTCCATTGTACTTATGTCAAATAAAATATTTCCGTAAAACAATTTGGGGTATAAATGTACATTTAAACATATAACCTAATTATGGTATTTTTACACGATATGTATTTTACATATGTGCTGTCACTTTATTTACACATGGAAATCGAACTCGTCATGTGAAACATACGGAAATTTCAATGTATCAAAACGATATGCAATTACATATGTATTTTTTCCGAATAGGACGCGCTATATTTTCGTATGTGAATTTCAGCTGTTTGAACGAAACACATTGTTGGAAGAAAATATTTCAATTGCAAGTCAAAGAAAAGGATGAAAAGGCAACAATTACAAATTATTATTTCGTTTGTAGGTGTTTAATAAAAAATGATGTTAATTTAAGAAAAAATAAAAGTGTTTTTTTGTTTATATGTAAAATACATATGTCAATTTGAACACTAAAAATAAAAGTTTTGTGTACGCTGCTAATTTTGACACACATAAGGAATTACATATGGATGAAATAAGTGACAGCACATATGTAAAATACATATCGTGCAAAAACACCATTAGTAAACATTTACACCGAACTTAACGGAAATTTATATACAAAAGAAATGCCAAATTAAATGACGATTTATGATAAAACATGTCCGGTGTGAATAAGACCTTAACTGCATCTGCTTTGAACGCCCCAGATATTTTTCCACAATTTTTTCATAAGGCATTTCTCAAGGCATGAGTTTAATGAAAATACGACGTTTTTTTGGCACATAATTGACAATTAAATGATGTGGTTGTTAAAATAACTGGCAGTGTAAACATCACCAAAACACTTGAAAATCATTTTAATTGGCAACCTTTTGAGAGTAATTACCAAATAACGAGTACCCGGTTTTTAGTATTCTCTTTCAATTATTTGTGTAACCATTAAAGTAGGACAACTATATAAATAGAACGAGAGAGTAACATTTGGACGAAACTCAACGAAGACACAAGAAGAAGAAGCAGCTACTATACGACGAAACAAAAAATATTTGACAGTTTACATTTAAAGTTAAGATGGCGAGTGTGCGAGACAGCGACACATCATTGTGGCTGCATAATAAACTCGGAACATCAAATGATTCTTGGATTAGTGGTTCAATATGTTCACAATTGAACAAGGAAGTGTTGCGCAATATCAAGGAGTGCTTTCCCGATCTCCAGACACAAGTGAAACTCAAGTTATTGCTAAGTTTTTTCCATATTCCTCGTCGTCTTGTCGAAGAGGTAACAAAATTTTTTTCTTTGCTGGTGAAATACTGAAAAAAATCAAGTTTCGTTAAGTCATACAACCAACACACGCAAACACATTAGCGCACACACACACTCAACCACCTACCGTGTGTGTGCAGACCAACAATGAATTGAAAAGAAAAACAACAATAAGAAAACATAAATGATGTGTTGGTGAATTGAATTGTGATGATGATGGAAAAATGAAAAGAAAACTACTCGAAAAAAGTATGAAGTTGTGGTGTAGAACGAAGTGAAATAATTTGCGAAAGTTTCCCAAAATTCCGACGGCTCAAAAATGCCCTGCAAAAAGCTAACAAAACAGCGGCAAATCTACAAACGAATCGAAATGAAATCAGTGCCCCTTGTTTGGTAGTGTTAGTGTGGGAGAAAAGTCAACTGTGGATCTCTTTAGCAGCGATGTATTTTCCCGCCTTCTGCAGATCCTCTCCATCGAAGACCCAATTGATATTGTGTTGTTTATTTTTGTTTTCTTTGAAAAGTATTTAGAAAAAAGAGCTGGTGTTTTATAAAATATTTTCCTTTTTTTACAATCTATATATGTGTGTGCGTGGTGGTGTTTTTTTTTTACTAAAAAGTGTTTTGATTTCTTTTTTCTATTTCATTACATACATTGTGTATGTTTTCGCTGCTACTGCTTTGTACCAACGATGTGTAGTGGAAAGCCGAGCTAGAGGAAGTCATAGAAGTTGCTGGCCTAGACTCGGAACTATGGGTGTCCATGCTAGCCGAAAGTATGAAGACATTTCCGGCGACCAGCTCGCTCAATACAGAGATCTCGGACTACGAAGATACACGCCCCATTTTCACCGACATGGTAAATGATTTACGCAAATTAGTTGCCAAACACAGTGATTTGGGTATGCTACCCTTGGAATGTCAATATCTAAATAAGAATGCATTGATATCGGTGGTAAGTAGACGTGCAGATTATATCGATGAAAAGGGAAGAATGTCGTGAAAATTCTTCCCCTTCCATCATTCTTGTCTCGTCGAGAACAGTTATTATATTGTGTTTTACTCTATTTCAGGTTGGCCAACAACCCAATCCTGTTAAGCATTTTACAATCAAACGCAAACCAAAAAGTGCCGCTTTAAGAACTGAGCTTCTTCACAAATCTGCAGATGCCCAGTCCTCTCTGAAGAAGACGTCAGCGCCGACAATTCCGCTGAGATCACGCGGTATGCCGCGCAAAATGACAGACACAACACCTCTGAAAGGTATACCTTCGCGGGTGCCAACGTCGGGCTTTCGCAGTCCCAGTATTAATGCACCAAATGCTCAGCGCCCCAACATGAGTCGAACACCTGCTGGTCGTAAAGATGGTGGTATTAAATTAATTGAATTGTCCGAACAGCCTCTGGGATATGCTGCAGCCAAGAAACGCAAACGCGAGCAACAGCTGGAGGAACAGCAGCGTAAACAGGAGCAAAAGGCGGCTGCGGCCGCTGCTGCTGCTCAATCTGCCACAGATGGTAGTAGTACGTCACCTTCCACAAATAACCATAACAATCCTAGTGGTCAGCCAGGCAACAAGGAACCGAACACACCGACTACACCAACTTCGGCTAATAACAGTTTTGAAATTAAAACTGAAAGTAATCTGAATCAAAGTCAAAGTAGTAGTGCTGACGAAGGTGGCCACACATCAGACTCGAAGGAGGATATAAAACCGGATATTAGCCAAACAGTTGTTACAAAGACGGAGCCAACAACTACATCTACACCGGAATATGCTCCGCCTTCATTAAGCTACAATCAGAATGCTACATCGGGTATTTTGGATAATGCTAATTCTGCCATCAAAATCGAAGATTCGAAGCCCAATACCCACAAGCTTATTGACTACATCATTCAACAACAACAACAAACGTTTTCAGATAAATCTGGTATGCAGCAGCAGCAACAACAACAGCAGCAGCATCAACAACAATCTCCTCAGCACCAACAACAAAATCAACAGAACAACCAGCATACCACAAGTAGCAGCAACACCAATAAGAACAACAGCTTGAGTCACGCCCATAAACGTATTAAACAGGAAATAAAAATAGAAAGTGAGGAGATTATCGTCCCAGCCAATATAAAGGTGGAGAAAATAGATCCACCGCCGTTAACACAACAAACCCAAACAAATACCTTGGGTGTTCAACGTTCACAGCAACAGCAGCAACAACAACATACACAACAAAGGGTCATTATTCAGCAGCAGCCATTGGCAACTGTGCAGCAGATTCAACAAGCGGTAACCACGACCCAACAACAACAACAGCCAACACAGCACGTCATTATACGTACGTCTCCGCAACAGCAGAAACAGACCCTGACCGTCAGACAACAAAATACCCCAACTACGCCAATCAAAATGGAAAAATTGGAAATAAAGCCGTTAGTACGTAACACAGCTCAATCTGGTACGATTATAACGCAGCAACAGCCAGTGCGGCCGGTTGGCAATACTGCGGCTAGCACTGCCAGTCACAACAATCCTTTGGCCAATTTACCCAACAACATTTCGGTGAAAATAACATCAACAAAGACCGGTAAAGTGACCCAGACAAGTCAGCCACAATCCCAGCAGCAGCCAATTCTGATTAATAGCTCCACGCCGGTAATATTGGCATCAACACCATCTCAAACGGCAGCGATGCGACAGAAGCAATTGGCCTCAGCTACCGCATCCACCCAAAATGCCACACCACAAACAGCCCAGGCTATAAAGTCAATGCCGTTAAGCCAACTGAAGAATGCTACCAACAGTGGTCCCGTTATAATATCTCAAACAATTATTCAACCAGCCAAGAGGGCACAGCAACAACAGCAGCAGCAAAGTAGTCAGCAACAGGCACAGCAAACTCAAATAATCCAACAACAACAGCAGCAGCAACAGGCACAATCGACGACCACAACACAATACATACTGACTCAGCAACAGCAGCAACCTCAACAACAACAGACCCTACCCACTTTAACAACATTTACAACACCTCAGCGTCAGCAGCAGACATCATACCAAACGACACCAACTACACCACAAACGCCCACATCCGCCAAGATTCTACTCAAGACGTCGCCCACATCCTCTGTTGTTATTCGTCAACAAACTCAACCGACTGCTACTCAGCAAATAGTAAGCGGTAATGCTGGTAATCCTCCTCCCCTAATAGCTTCCTCATCGTCGCCATCCTCGGCTACATCCGCGCAGCCAACGCTTTTGAATATACAAAATGTGCAATTGCCGAATCGTCCCGTTACCATACAGCCCGCATCACACGCTGCCCAACAACAGCACATGCAAGCGCAGCTTCAACAGCAACAACATACGTTGGTCTCCAACAATACCGCTACACAACAACCTAAACTGACCCAAGTCCTGATGCAGCCTGGAGGCAATGCAACTACTGTTGGTGGACAAACAACCGTGGGGGGCAACTCCAACGTTAAGAATAAGACAATTATTTTAACCCAGAAGGGTGTATTCCTTCGGAATATTGGCGGCGATATGTATCAGCAGATCCCGATTAGCAACGTGAGTGGTTTGCAAACGCTTGGTTCCGGTGCCACTACGCTTATGACAACTGCGGCTGGTCCGCCTGGACTTGTGAAAACAACATCGGCAACCACAACTCTGCAACAGCAACAACCTCAAACAATAACACTGCAACAGCAGCAGTCGCAGACGCAGCCAAGCACACAGACTACACAAAAACTGACGACATTAATACCAACACAACAGCATATGATCGTACAACAGCAGCCACAGGCTACAACAAGTTTAATACAAACAAATGTGAGTATTCTTTGTTATTGGTGATGTTATTTGTACAACCCTCCATCTTACTCTTAAGGTATGGGTATGTAACGTTTGGGATATAATTTCTGGTTCGAAATTTTGAGATCAGCCAAATTAAAAATCATATAGATTTGGGGACATGTTGGCCCATGAATGCCAACACCATCAATGCTCAACAATTTTACAAACTCAATTACAGACAATTACAAGTTTGTGAAACTTTTAAGCACTATTAAAATCTTGGGGTACCATTATATGTGGGCTTTCGTAGACATATACTATAACATATGAATATATACTTTTTTTCTAATTTCTTTTTAGCAACCTTCCCAACAAACCATCATCAGACCCGTAATGACAAATGTTCAAAGTGGTGGCCTAACAACGACATTGCCCGGTGGATTAACCCTAATTCAGAGGCCAGGTCAACAACCACAACTGGTCCAAGTTCAAACTACCCCGGTCCAGACATCGCAGCAGCCGGCCACACAAATACAACGTACCATCATTACACAACCGGCCTTGCAACAACACCAACAGACAACACAACTGCGTCCTCAGCAAATTGTGTTACAACAAAAACCTGCCGCTACACAACAACGTTTGATAACGACCACTACGACAGGTGGCATGACAGGGGCGACAACGGGTGGCACACAGCAAATTCAATTGCAACAAACTAATACGGGTGGTATACAGCGCACTCATATTATTCAAATGCCGCAGCAGCAACAACAGCAGCAGCAACAGCAAGCTGCGCCACAGCGTAAAGGGTTATCACTGTCGGTAAGATTCAAATCAAATGATTCCGCAAGTTTTAAAACAAATTCACGAAATGCATCTATAAATTTGGCAAATGTATTTTCCCTCATTACAGAATGAACACGTTCATAAAGCCCACGAAATGTTTCGCAAAGCGAATCGTGTTTCCCGCCCTGATAAAGCTCTGATTCTCGGCTTTATGGCTGGGCTGCGAGAAAATCCCAGACCAAATTCAGAAAATGTGATTGTTATTAAATTGGGGGAAACAGAGGTAAGGATGGTGAATATATGAACCTCTCACATATAGTTTGTTTTAAATGTAATTATTTAACATACTTTTTTGCATATTTTAGGAAAAAGTCCAACAGGAAGATGGTCAGACGGCACTTTGTTTGGTAGAGTCCCACATACGTTTAGATTACAATACGGGAGAGTGGAAAACATTCCAGAACTACAGACGTCTTGATCAGACGAATCAGAGTTCTAGCGATGGCGGCGGAGGTAATGTTATGCAGACACAAAATTCGGTGGTGATATAATGAATAAGGCCCGCTGGAACCACGACGGGCCCCACAACATCAAAACGTATAAAAAAATAAATGAAATACATAAATAAGGAAGAAATTGCAATACTTTAAAATGACAGTGTAAAACGAAAAACATTCGCTCCACACATCGTATAGGGAAAGCTTAGTGAAAACGCTTTAAAGAAACAATTGATTCATTACATAGTTTTCTCTCATCAATTAATAATATGAACCACACGTAACATAACACAACATCTTTGGAGTCATATGAAACACCTATATGTTGCTGTCTCTAAGAAAAGATGCCCGAATTAGCTGAATAGAATTTATATAAACATATAATACAAACATACATACAATAATAACGATAAGAATTACCCGTTAATTTCCCGTTTTGGTAAGTAAAAAACGAAATAGTAGAATCCAAGTTTGTTGCATTTTTGCCTTTATTTTCCCTATTCATCATTTAGAGCGGCCTTTTTTACACACTCTATTTTCAACGCCTAATATTTTAAAGTCAAGTTTTACAATTCAAAACATTTTTCCATCCCTCATACACTCTCATAAACATTGAACTTCTTACATTAAACCCTATCTTTAACTATACATACATATATATTAAAAATAGAACTAAAAAAAAAATATATGTAAAACGTTCATAATTAAATTAGTTGTACAAAATTTAAAACACACCCGGTAGTTTATTCATAATGCTTAGATTTATAATAATAAATAAATATAAAGAAACACTCTACATATATAAAATATATAATAAGAATGATGATGATTATAATGTATGCGAAAGCTCTTAAATGTAATCATTAACCACAATTTTATTCAGGCAAACCTTTTTTCAATTTAGTTTCAAAATTAGTCACTTCAACTTCAACAAAGCGGTGACATTCTTTTATTTTTTGTTTGTGGGTCGGTTGTATTTGGATGTAAACATCCAAGTATAAGCTGGCATTAGGAATCTTTATTTAATTGGTGAAATCAGAGTCTTTTCTTTTTATTTATTTTAATTAAAAAATAAAAAAAGCTTACGTAAAAATATTGATAAGAAAAAAGGAAAACAAAAAAGAAAGAAAATATATAATTAAAAAAATGTAACTAGAGTTTATAAAATAATATATAAATTATATATAATAAAGAAAAACAATAATTATTTGGCTTATATAACAAATATGTGATTTATGTTCATAACTGATATATTAACTCATTATGCACCTTGCAAATGGAATCAATATTTGTTCTCAATAAATAAAAAAAATTTGGAATAGAAATGACGACTGCACATCCCCCATGAAGCTAGATAAATAATTGCATTATAATTTGATTTAATAGAATTGCAACTCCAGCTTAAGCGTGTATCTTCCAGCCAACATATTTAGATTTCTCCCCAAGTTTGATATGAAATGAATATTTGCCTTTTCGACGCTAGTTTTGCCCAAAAATTCTCTAGTGTACAGTATCAATTTGTATATACAGTCCAAATTTTTTTCATATCCTATTTAGGATAGTTGCATGAAATCTGTGCACAGAAAATTGTTACGGAAATAAATTCGTGACTCAAAAAATTAAATCGCTTCGTATTGGAATTGTACGCACAGAAATATTTTTGATTCTTATACAAATAGAATAAATTAAAGTGTTTTTCGTCGATATTGCATTTCGTTTTCATGATATTGGACTTTTAGAAAGAATTGAATGTATCTCCCGAATGCATTTGTTCATGTCCTATTTAGGAAAGTAGTCCTATGCTTATGGAAAAAATTCGCGGCTAAAACATCCCAAAATAATTATTTAAAATGATTTTTCGTCAATATTGCATTTGCTTTTCTTGATATTGGAATTTTATTATTCAGAAAGAATGCATGGTTATAATAACGTCAATTTATGTTCATATTCTATTTAGGAAGTCATAACTTTGGCAAGAAGTTATATTTTTGATAATTGATTGGAAGATCAGATTGAAATTAATTAAAATAGTAGTGCAGTTGAATTGTAAGTACTGAACTGTAAAATTGTTTAGAAAACTTATTTTTAATTTTATTTCTTTTTATTGTTTTCAACACTTTTATTCCCGAAAATATATATTTCTGTTCTATCCATTATACCATTAATCATATTGATTGGCCCTGAAAAATTGTCCAAACCCAGCATGCTTTACATTATTGACTATGTATTGAGGTTGGTATTCTGTTATTGCGTTAAATACCATTGTAACACTGCATCCAATAATATTGCCCTGAATTTTTCCGTAATCATAGAACAATTTTCTTTTAAGAGATTTAATGCAGCTTTCCTTAATATATATATATATATATATATATATTCTTTTTTACATGAATAAGAAATAGTTCTAATGGCAAAATTCGTACAAATCGAATACGAAGCTATTTAACCCTTTGTGTCCCGAAATTCTTTCCGTAATCATAGAACCATTTACTGTTCACAGATTCAATGCAACTATCCTAAATAGGATATTAACAAAATTTGGCATCGCTACATCTTTTCATTTGGGAGATACAGTACAAATAGGAGTCCAGTATCAAGAAAACCAAATGGAAAATCGACGGAAAATTCATTTTAAAATTTTCTCTATATTCCTTTTCGTACGATTTAAATAATTTGGACTGCATACATCAATTAGTACTGTACACATTTTTGCCTTCTCTATATTGAAAAGTTCATAACTTTACAAATAAATTGAATTTTTTAGATTTTTTAGGTGTGTCGTCCATAATTAGATCTTGACATACGAAATCCAAAGAATATATATCAACCAGCTGCATATTAAATTTAAGCTCTAAAACATTTTGTTGCCTGCGGGCAACATTGGGCCACAACGGGTTTATATATATATATATCATAGGGTATCATTTTTATAATTAATCCTCTCGTCGCAGCCTGCAAGGTTTTCCTCTTCCCACTAAAAATTAATACCTTTAAGTAAATTAATGTTTAATAATTAAAATATCAAATCACAATATACTTTTACAAAACACTTACTTTTGCTTATTTTTGGCATTATTTATATATTTTTAATAAATTTCACAAAACTAGAGAAATTCTGAAAAGCGGCAGCAAATCTCGTGGCACTTTGAACACAACTGTACATATCAATGTTCATAAATTCTCGACTGAGATGTTTTGGATAAATGTTTTTTGTTTAAAGAATTGGTTTTGAATATTATATTTCGATGAATCTTATAAAATCGCATTTGATCGCATCTAAATGTGTATTATTACGATGATATTTCAAAAAAAAAAATATGTGGACTGTACAAACTTTTTTTTTAATATTTACCTTATTTTTAATCTCGATTTGAATCGATTTATGTATGTCCGTTAATATTTTTATGCATTTTGTAATCCAACTACCAAAGACAAACACTGTTGAATACTTTTAGGCGCCACAACAAATATGAAATATCGAATAATAATACCCCAAAATACGATACTGCAGATAAATGATTATTGATAATTATAAATTTGGCAAAAAATACTGTTTTTTATTCTCAATATCCATAATTATCCTTGTCATGAGAGACACGCTTTATGTTTAATTTTTACTAATTTTCCGCTCCCATTTGTGTGTATTTGCTCCCACTTTTACTAGTTTTATTGCGAAAAACAACATAATTTAAATTTTAAAATAAAAACTATTTTCTTTTTGCAATATAGTCAGGCTAAATCTCAGTTTGTTTATATATAAAAAAAAATACAATACTGAAATAAAAACTATTATTATTATATTATGTTCTCCAAATTACAACTTATTTCTTTGAGGGAGAAATGTGTCATTGAGCGCCAAACAATAAGGCATGGAAGAATATAGTTTAGTACCTCGTCATGGATATTAATCTACTACTTAGCGAAATTCCAATCCAAAACTGGTTTTTTAATAAATTCTTTAATAATGTTCATTGGTTTTTAGTAATATTTGATAAAACCAAAATTTCCCTGAAAAAATGTAACCAATTTTTAAGTTAAATCCAATTTATGATTAAACTAAATTTATTTATTTTTCTTAAGTATTATGGAAAATATGAGAATATATCTTAAAACTAATTAACATTGATTTTTTATTTCCAATGAAAACGAAAATGAGCAATGAAATGAAATGTGAACAGAATTTGAAACATAGTTCAAATGTTCAGAGCAGGTACATAGCTATTGGGAAACAATTTTTCCTGCATTGGAAGTGAGCATATTTGCATTTTTTCTAGAGAACATTCTAAAAGGAGCAATTCCTTAAATTATCCTTACAAACTAAGTCATTAAATACTGGACATTAAAAATAAAGACGTGTATTTTATCAGCTTTAGGGTGTAACTTCCTTCCAATGTACAATGGCTCGCTGTGAGTCGGGTGCTTTACCGAAGGGATGTGTACCGTCTGTAAACACATATTCGTTAACCTGATAATCCAATAGGGTCTTATAATTGTAGACATCATTGCCTAGTTGCTGTAACAAATAAGATAAAAAATATAAATGTTTATCCAAAAAAGCGTGCTCCATACTCAACTTACCTGTGTCAGAGGACTGGTATTGGTGGTTAAGATGCCAGCGAATTGTTTCTCTTTAGCCAATTTTAATACTTCATGTTCCATAAAATGCATACATGCAATATTCTCTTGAGCATTGAGATCAACATTGGTACCCATCATAAACGAATGTAAAATTTTGTTTAGGCCCTTGGGCAAGTAGTTGTCCCTATAAAATAAAACATAATTAGTAGCCTATTTTTGCATATTAAAGTGTTTACGATTTACCTAATTGGTCCTTCTATAAATTCCAAAAGTTCGAAAACAACAATCAATTTTGATTTTACTTCTACTTCGGGTTCATCGCGGGCATCGAAATTTAAAGATGTGCCAATGATGCGATTTGTGTTCCTATCGACCACAACAAAACTCAAATCTTTTTCCACCAAATCGTCCCAAATGTCCTGGAATAGAAAAAAGGCAAATGTTTATTTCTGCATAATAAGGTAGGCGTTTTATTTTAATATTTACCGATATTAAATCACTGTAATCGGTGCGTAATATATCCGGTTTCAGCCATTGTTCCAAGTCAGCCTTTCCATAGAAACTGTCCACGATAATTCTAAAAACCAAATATTAATTAACAAACTATTTTGAATGCAATAATTTCAATTCTTACTGGATGACATCCTGTTTGTGTGAGTATTGTAGGGGTACAGCTTCCATATCCAAGTGAGGACAAGCACTTAACCAAATTTCTGTATCTTCCACCATATTGATCTCACGATCTTTGGTCATGCTGTGCAAGATATCACCCAAATTTTTAGCGGCTATGAATTCGGAGATGCTAATGCTATAGCCCTTTTCACGCAGCAGTGTTACCGTGTAAATAGAGTTCAATGAATTGCCACCCAGTTCGTAGAAATTACTTTGGGGAGTTAAGGTGGCCCGAGTCGATCGTCCAATAACACTGCCAACGGTTTCGAAGAGATCTTCAGCCACTGGACGCAGTTCGTCTGGTACTTGGGAATAGTCGAAGTCTAACACAATGCTTGAATCACCCTCATTGTTGTTGGCCGTTTCATATTTCTTCAGGAGGGCTTGACGGTCGACTTTACCATTGACCAAAAGTGGAACTTGCTCGATTAACACAACTTGTGGTATCATATAATCGGCCAATTTATCCGATAGCTTGCTTTCCAATTGCAACTCATTGTAGAGAGGGCAGTCATCACGTAGTTTGACAAAGGCCAGCAAGGCCTGATCAAGTTGGCCAGCATGATAGCAAAGCACAATGGCCTTTTCCACCATTGGAAGTTCGGCAACATTTTTCTCCACTTCGGAGAGGTCAACACGATGACCGCGGATTTTAATTTGGGAATCGGTACGCCCTTCATAGAAAATGTACCCATCTGCAAGGGAACCATAATCGCCAGTGCGATAAATACGTGAATATTCTGCAAGAGGAAAGGCGGAAAATTATTAAATACTAATCGGCCAGTTGACATCACAAGAACTTACTCAACTCCACAGCCAGGGGATTCTCTACAAATTTCTCCTTATCCCGACCATTAACATAACCATCGGCCAAGTTTAGACCCGATACGTAAATTTCTCCAATCTCACCATGCTTAACTGGCCTGTAGTCAGAGTCCAATAGGTAGACAACGGTATTATTTACTGGAATACCAATGGGCACGCGATCTAAGTGCTGCAATTGCTTCTTCGTTTCACAGGCAAAATAGGTGACATCGCCCATAACCTCAGTGGATCCATAGAAATTGTAAAGGGCATGAACACCCTCTTGGAAGTAATCAAAAAAGTTGCTTGCCAAGGCCACTGGCAATGGTTCACCGGAACATACCCAGATATGTAGATTATACAAAAGTTTGCCTTCGTTGCTGCCTGTGGTGATTCGGCCACCATCCAAATTCAAATACATAAGTAGGGATCGCAGCAAAGTAGGCACCAAAACTAAGCGGCGTATTTTATACTTCTCAAGCACTTGGACAAGACGCTCGGGATCCTTAGTTATTGCCTTTGGTACAACCAAAATTGCCAATCCTAGGGAAGGAATTGAAATTTGTTTGTTTGTATTGAGTAAATGTGGAATGGTGTTGAATCTTAAATTGGATTTTAAATACTTACCGCACAACAATGGTCCCCATAATTCTGCCACGGAATCAACAAATGTCAAAGCTGTTTTAAATACTCCCACTGTTTCGTTCAAAGCGTATGGGAATGTGGACCACTGCCATTGTAAACGATTTAATATGACCTCGTGTGGGAGACGAACACCCTTTGGTATGCCGGTACTTCCCGATGTATACAGAACAATGGCCAAATTACTGACACCGCTGCTTAACATTTCCGAGGCCATCAGATTAGTCCCCTGCATTTGTGACGAGTTCAAACTTAATTCTGAAATCGTGAGGGTAGTAACCAGTGTCGAATCGAACCGACTGCTGTCCACACTGTCGTCTTGAACCACAATTATTGGTTTGGATTCTTGTAGAATGTGCTGGATGCGATTTGTTGGGAAACTTGGATCTATGGGTAAATATGAGGCACCAGCCTTCCATATAGCCAATAGAGTTGTTACCAAATCATCCGATGGCTGCATACAAACAGCAATTATATAATCACCATCTGCATTGGGCTGGAGGAAACGTTGTGTGGCTTCCCTAACTAGAAGGCGAGCACATTGATTTGCTCTGCGATTCATTTCCAAATATGACGTTTGGCGGGGCAGTTGCTTTTGAAAATCGGCCGCCGTATTGGCATCTTTGTAGTGTATTAGAGCGGTTTTATGCGAACGATGAGCCACACCTTCCTCAAAGATTCTGTGTAAGTGACGTGGAATCAATTCTTGTTGATTGCCCTTGACAATGGACAATTTGGCGATGGTACCCATGATTTATAGGAGAACTGAAATTGACACGGAGGGTGAAGATAAATAGTAAGTATAATTGTTCACATTGCTTGCAAGATAATTATAAACAAAAAAAAAAAAAAAAAAAAAACTAAATATTTGACCTTGTCATTTTTAATTTGCCATCAAGTTAATATTGTATTGAAGTACACATATTGTTCTAAATAATTGTAAATCAAAGAAATTCACCTGAAATTATTTAATTTAAATTCTTAAGTATATATGTATGTACATACATATGTGTGGATATATGCATACTTGCTATTTGTTTGTTTCAGTTCCATTATAATCGAGTGTAATTAAAGATAGCATACCTTGTGACTGCATTGTCACCAAATGTTCGTTATTAAAGTGCCACAAAGTGTTTCGCAAATATCGTAGCCACATTGGAAATCTTTGTAATGGTCTTTGCTTTGGAAGTTCTCCAAAGCACATTCTAAAATCATTACTATAAAATATATTATTTATAACAAATGTTCATGTTTAGTTGCAAATCAAATATTAATTGTAATCTTGGATGTTTGGAAGTTTTCAAGTGAATTTAGTTTTTTCGAAAATAAATCACGATAATCATGAAGAAACGATTATTTTATGTATGTATACAATTCTTCTTTATAGAAACGAAATATATTTGATATGCAAAAGGAAATTGAATCGAGAGAAAAACATAAAAGAAAGGGAGACAAATTGAATCAGCTGAGGGGGTCAGGCAGAATCAAATATTTGATGAAATTCTTAAATGATTTTTGTCCTTAATTTGTCCTCAGTTGTTTATATTTTTTTGTAATAAAATTACCTTTTTTAATGTTATTTAATTTCTGATATACAATGAAGATGCAATGATAGATTAAGTGCGAATAATATTGTAAAAGTCTTATATAGGAATAAATGAGAAATACATGAATCTTATTTGATGTATAAATTAATTTGTATTTTCGCTCGGTTTTATAAAATTATAGTACACTAGCAATCTTTTGATTATTCTATATCATCATTATTAAAATGATTAAAACCCTGTTTTAATTAAAGACCTCACTGAAAAAAATTAAAACTTCAACCTAAATTCGAATGCGTTTAACAAGCTTAATCCATTTATGTATCTATTTTTAGTATATCAATAAAATTAAGTAATTAAAAATATCGCGTAATATGCTAAGTAAATATAAGTTTCTTCGTGATTTATCATTGACAAATTGTTTTATGATTCTCCTCGTCGCACTAGTTTGCCCTCCATTCTGTGATGCGAAGATATGAAAACATGGTTAACAACAATCGTTTCATATATGTGTGTGTCTCAATGGTTCGTGAGAAGTGTATCTTTAATGGTAAAACAAACCGGTGGTGGCAAGTTGGACAATATTTGATAAGATTGCAATGTGTTGATATTGACACTCCTTCTAAATACATCACTAAAATTTGTGACTATACAAGAGCACTCAGAAAATAATGGCTGCAATTAAAACTAGGAAATTTAACTTCAAGGTGGCCATGTAAAGTCCAATTATGTTCTTTTAAGTGCCAAATTTAAAGGCCCGTTAAAATGGAGTGATAATTTACAAGATTAATTCGTGGATAATAATCCATAGTCGTGGATAATATTAATGTGATTACGTCGAGTCGTGTCATTGTCAATGTTTTAAGACTCGTCTCTTGTCATGTATTCAATTTTGAGTTTAGTTTTCATTTAATTATTTTGGCTATTGTTGTTCCTATTCAGAGAAATACAAGTTTTCAGTTTTGTCTTCAGCATGCCACAATGTACCGACCGATCTACCAGCTGCGGAAATGAAGACAACAAATTGTTCGTTCTCGTGTTTTTTGGCTTGACTGCAAAACAATTGACCATAATTGTTGTTGTTTTGAATTTTGCGTAAATGTGAGAATACAAACAATCCGTTGCATTTGAAGGTTGTCATTAAAATCAAAAAATATGCACTTGTGGTGTTTGTTTCAGCTAATTATAGAGAGGGAGATGTACTTAGAGACAATATTACAATTAAAAAATTCAAAATTGTTCAAAAATAAAAAAAAAAAAAACATAATTACATATTTTGATCCACAGAGGCCAGCGAAGCTGAAGCAAGACGAATACTGGTACCAAAATGATTACATTTCTTAGAAATTAATTTTTAGAATAATAATTGTTAATAGTCAAATATATATTTTCCTTAATTTTGATTTTATATATGTACCTATTTTCAACATTATGTGCATGGTGAAGGGTTGTTTTGAAAATCAAAAATAACGTTGTATTTTTCAACAAAGTTTTTTTTTGCTTTAAAATAGGAAATGAATAATTTATTTTGTAGGAACATAAATATATTTTTATATTGTTATTATCAACAATAAGCGACATGATTTTTTCACTTCCCATCACTACATGAACCATGTTTCAGCGATTCACGTGCTTTACATTACCAACACAGTACCTACATACATTTACATTGGAAATAGAAAATTTGAAAGGTTCAGAATATGAACAAAATACACACCGAATTAAAAATATACTGGAAATATTTATAAATCATTTTTACACGATTGCAATATTTGACATCTGAAATGGAATTTCAATTGTTTTTGTTGTCGCTGTTGATTGGTGGCAGTTAATATCTAGTTTGGGTTGGGGGAATAGATATTGTGAATTGTTCATAAGAATTGTACCGACTGAAAGGTATGTAAAAGGTGACAATTTCCAATTCACTGCGACACGTAACAAAAAGAAAGTTGATTACTTATTATATGAGATTACAAACGTGGATACTTGTGTGTCTATGAATGTTTATATACATTTTTATAAATTTATTTATGTAATTATTTTTAAATTTTATTACAAAATACATATTTATATATTTGTCTTTATATTTAGTATATAAATATATATTTATATATGATCACAGCAGAACAATTAACCCGTTGTAGGGTATTTTATTTCAACAATACCTTGTAAAGAGAAAAAATTTTATTGAAGGCGTTCCTTGGGATTAATAATCCACTGGATTATTGGAAACCAAAAAATGTCCTTTGGAGAAATTACTTCGATCTTCGAGCTTAATTAACGGATGGTAAAACTATTGCGATGAACAAAATTTAGATCAAATTGAATTCAGTTCATGTAAGTTTTTCATGTTTTCAAAATGATGACCACATGTCACGGTATCAGAAGGAGGGTGCGGCAGATTTGAATCGATTTTTTCAACGTAGAATGGATTGTTCTCTAATGTCATTTCGTAAGGCAGACTTAAAATTATTTTCCTTCCTTCTTTATAAGTATGTTTATACTAATCTTAAAAGAATATATTCTAATCTATTAATTATTTTATTCTCCGCCACAAACAATAGGTTAATAAAAGAAAAGTTGTCACATTAATCTTTCCCTGGTGGCAAATCTGCAACAATTAATTATTATATAATAATTAAAACAACTGACAATTTCATTGTATTGAGCGCCACAACACAATATTTAATAGAGTTAGTCTGGGAATAAACAATTTCGAATTCCATGCCAGCGGTTGATCTATTAAATGCTTCTCAATAGCTGTCGGTTCAATAAAATATCTATGGATTTTCTTTACACCGAGGCCAACTGATGAATAGCTAACATATTAAATAGCCGACAACAGCAAGAAATGCTTGGCTAGCCAGCCAACAAAAAGATTTTCTAGAAATCAAAAATTTTTAATTTATTTATTGTAAAATAACTTTTTTTATTTTGTATCTGGTAATTACACCAGTACAGACAGACAGACCGAGAGACTGCAAGTTGCTCAGATAACAGATTGTCGGCAAATGAAATGTCTGACGAGGGAATGAATGACGACTGACTGACTGTTTTAATCACATTTCTAGGATTTTCGTGAACCAACTTACAATGTTGGCAAAATTCGCTGCAGCACGAATCGCAATCTGGTAATTAACCTTTTTATGGTATTAAAATCTATCACAACATTAAACTCATGTCTTATTTAGTTTGTTTTTTTTTGCAGTTGTTGATGTAATTTTAATGCTTGTCTTAATGGGGCTGCATGATATTAAGATGTTAAGAGATTGCTGTTTAGGTGCCGCTGCTAGTGACCACCACCTTCAACACCTTGTTACCTATGGATTATTAATATTACAGAACGACAAACGACAGCAGTGTGCAATTGCTTGCCTGTATCTGTAGCTAAGCACTTAATCGCTTTAAGCCGTGCTGAACTGATTTCGATAGGAGTTTTGTAATCTCACATATAATTCTATTAGACAGATAATAATAATGCCATTAAAACTTGTCGTATTTGAGTGGGTGGGAGTATAAGAAATTCAATTTTCAATCGCATAATTATGTTATGGAATTTTGGATGTAGCCTTGTGAATTCATTTTCGAGTGTTCGGAAAAAAAAAATAATAATAATAAAAATTGCATTATATATCTGTCTACTTAAATGTGTTGCGATTTGATAGCTACGTTGAATGGGAACCTAACGTCATATAAGAATACTAAGGAAATAAACCAATATTTAAATAACCAGTGAGCGGAGCAGTATAGTCGGACGGGGCCGACCATACGATACCCTACACAACTACCACGGAACTCAAATTTTCTGCGGATGTTTATTCCGAGCCTGGGCCCTCACTGAAATTTTTAGTGAGGGTTGCTGTTGATGTGTAGGCGTGAGATAAGGCTGGTTTTTGGAAATTCGAACTAGAAGGGTACGAAAAGTACTAAAATGTACCAAATATGGTACCCTTTGTATTAGGCAAACGGGAAGAGCTAGAATTCTGAAATTTGGCATGTGGGTCACTGATGGAAAGTTAGAAAGATGTACAAAAGGGTTTTTGGAAATTCAACCTTTAAGTGTACTAAAGTGTACTAAAAGTACTAAACTTTACTAAAATTAGTTCTAATTGTATATATATTAGGCATATATAGCTAGAATCTTGAAATTATACATGGAATACAGGTAGGGAAGTGGTGTTGATGTATGGGAATGGTTTATGTAATTAG